GAAATGCTTCTGAAGAACTTCAGTTATTAATTGGGAAAGAAGCTGGAATCAGTTTCGAAAATTCCCTGTAAGGCTTTTGGCTCAGAATGTGTCAAATCTGAAGTAAATGTTCTTCATTTCTGGCTTTTTTAAGTATAGTTCCAATAACACCTGTATTTTTTTTTTTTTACATATACAATCTGTTTATTGAGTTCTTATACATACTAATATACAGAAATATAACAAACAGAAAAACAATATACTTTAAAGGCAAAAAGCATCATTGCCTAAAACCTCATTTCAGAACCATCTTAGAGACTAAATGTATAGGTCATTAGACATACATTCAATCTAGAAATTAAATATAATAAGGTGGTATGTTGCTTGAATGATATGCGTAGTGTTGAATACAGTCTGTAAATACAAGAATTTTCTCTGTTTAAGGTTATCAATTTCGGAAAATCAAGGAACATATCTGTCGCTACGAATTCGAAAGGAAATGGAGTTGGTTATTCCAACCAATTGAGTTTTATGAAAGCATTAGGGTTATACATACTATTGTGGAGATTCCATGTTATTTTCTTTGTTGCAGCTGCCACTAAGTTTGTCAATATTTTGTGTATCCCAAAGGAATATCTTTCTATCATCGAAGAACATTTTTTTACATAAACAATCTGTTTATTGAGTTCTTATACATACTAACATACAGAAATATAACAAACAGAAAACAATATACTGTAAAGGCAAAAAGCAGCATTGCCTAAAACCTTATTTCAGCGGCATCCTAGAGACTAAGAGTATAAGAATAATTGTTAAGACTCTTCGACGCGTTTGATACCCATTTTTTAATGAAGTGGACCGTGAGCTCAACGTTCGAAGAATAAGTGGAACTTACTCAAAACAAGGATAATCAATATTGGTAGGGAAGGGGGTTTAGTGCTTAGAATGTTGGTGATTTAATTTGATATTTAGTTATGTGTAATTTTACAGTGATTGATGTTTTCTTCGATTGAAAAATGGTTGCAAAAAATTGGAAAATCAAAATTTTCGCAACTTTTCTGTAAATTTCTCAATCACTTGATTGATAAGAACCTTCCTAGAATTAAAGCATCATTTTTGGTATTTAATCATCCAGGCTAATTCTATGCTTTTTAACCGACTGTTAAGTTAATTGGGTAAAGGGATCTTGAAGCAGAATCACTGATATGCGCCTTTATTAGCATGCTCTCCAAAAGTTCCGAGGACTACTGTTTTGTGTCATTTTCCAGATGCATGAAATAACTTCACAAACTCTCTCCAATAGTTTTATTTCTTCCGAGCCTTTGCTTATCAAATCTAATTCCTTTTCTTGTATCATATTAATGTACATCGGAAGTCAATAATCTTTTTGAAGAAAGCTGCCAAAGTTGGGTATGAACCCGTTTTTCAGAGTAGCTACAAATCAGAGCGATACTATTTTAATCACATAGAACGCACATAGAGAAAGAAAATCATAGTAAACTTACTTTCTAAGATAGTTTTGGATTAAATTGAATACCGAGGAATAAATATTAAATTGAATTTAAGAGTTCTAGAACTAAACCTTTATTTTATTAATTTACGAATTCTACTCGGCTAAATTTTCAAATCATTTTTCGAGAATTTTTTCCCAGAACCCTTTTATTATTTTTATTCTATTTTTTATCACTTTTTTCTTTCTCTCTTTTCCAAGCCCCATTGTCCTATTACTTTAGCTTTCCACAAAAATGCCAGTTGCTGAACCTACTAATGTCGTTGTTTCAAACGCTACCAATCAATCAGATAGTGAAGATAGCCTGTCCGTTTCTGACGAAGTCGATTCCTTGATTGACATCGTAGAACAAAATGATTGGGAACAGAGACGCGTGGCAATGGAGGAACAAAGAAGACTCCAAGAAGCAATGGAAGTTGGGTCTCCATTTCCACATCCTTGGTGGAGCGCGTTTAGTAATATCGGTCCTGCGCCAAATTGTTTAGACGAATGGTTAATTATTGACATTTCAAATTCAATTAGAGTTAAGCCTGATTGGGAAAGAAAGTATAAAGATGACGTGATTTCTAATAAGTGGAAACAAGAACTTAGAGATCAATTTAGTAAGAAGACAAGATTTATCGAAGAAGTGATTGAATTTGTGTTTAAGGAATTGGAATGGTATGAGAAAATTCAATCAACTTGGTTTGGCGATAGTGGCTTTAAAATTGGTTGTTCGGATAAGATTGTCTATTCAGATCAAGTCATCAATGACGACTTAAAAACAGAACTTAAATCCGGAGTTGGTAAATTGATCAAATCCTTTGGAGAAAACTTAGATTACCATCCAGGGTCAAATAATCAGGTTTTAGATTTGGTTCATCCTTCATTGTTTCCCTTGCAGTACGAGAAAACGCCCATTTTGGACGGAGATGAAGTCAAGCTAGCCAGTTACAGGGATGAGATTAAATGTGCAAAAAGAGCCGTTGACGAATACGGTGTTTCTAAAACATTCCAATGGATTCCCGCTGTATTCAAGAAAGAAAACGACAAATTCAAAATCGCGTCATATATTAATAATTTGCATCCAAAAAAGCATAGTGATCTTTACACAACTATTGAATCTATTTTTAATGAAGTCATTCCTGGGCTTAACTACACCTTGACTCGGTATGCCTCAAAAGAGTTTGTTAGACTTCAAATTCCTTCTTATGACGAAGTATACACTGAAGAATTACAAAAGGAAAGAGCAAGATTGCAAGAGGAATTAGAAGATGACGATTATGATGAATGGGATAAATTGGAGAAAAGGATGGGGGAATTTGTTAAAGATTTTAAACCCAAATGGGAAAGCGAACCCGTCTTTGACAAAGCGATTGATTTAAAGTCTTTCGAAGATGTTAAAGTGATCGTAAAGCTAGCCAATATTGAATTAACACCAGAGAACCCCAAGTATCCAGGAGGTGCATGGCATGTTGAAGGTACAATCAACGAAGACATTGTCGCAACCGTTTTGTATTACTATGAGATGGAAAATATCTCTGACAGTAGACTTTCATTTAGAACTGGATTTGAAGATCCAGATTATGAACAAGGTGATGACTTCTATACTCAGTATTTCTTTGGATTAAAGGACGAGGATCTTATGACTCGATACCTTGGTAGTGCCGAAGCCAAAGAGAATAGGATTTTGATTTTCCCAAATATGTTCCAACATCATGTTGATCCATTTGAATTGACTGATAAAACAAAGCCGGGATATAGAAAGATTCTATGCTTCTTTATTGTTGACCCTTACAATCCAAGAGTAGTTGGTACTGATCAGGTACCTCCTCAGCAATTAGATTGGTGGAATGATGAAGAGTTGGATTACTTATTTCCTAACGACTTGAAGGAGAAGATCAAGAAATTAAAGGAGGGGTTAGTATGGCCATTAACATCCAATTTGGCTGCTGAAGCAAGACGTCAACTTATGTATGAACGATCGCTTAGACAAGATGCGGAAGAATATGACGGTGGTGCCTTTACTAGAACATTCTCATTGTGTGAGCATTAGTTCTCTCTATTCTGGTTTCGCATATTCTCATTTCCTATTTAGAAATATGGCTATGTAGTGGACTATTAGTAAAACTTCTCTTAATAACTTAATATAGAATCATATGACGTCATAAATTATGGTAACGCGAATTTTCTTCATTTCCTTTATTTTACAACATTAATTTATTCCTGTTGATATAAATCAACAGTATATTAGTACCCCCCTGTGATGATTATTCTTAATTATAATTGGAAATTTTGAGTATTAGAACTAGTTGACTTTGTTGGAACTTCACTTTTTTTTTTTAGATATTATGTTTAAATTATGATTATAAAACTGATTCTGAAACCATACTTGAGAGATGTAAATAACGAGATTCTCACAAACGGTTGGCTAATAGCTAATTACGCAGCACGTTAATAAAGAGACCTTTGTAGCACATAAAATCTATTATGTTTCCCAATTCAAACCTCACCAAGTAGGTTTATCTTTGTAGGTTATAATTAGCTAGACTTTATAACTACGTATTTACAATTGAAAGGTGAAATTAAAATATTTTATCGTCTGCAACATTGAAAAATTCCCAATATCCCCCCCCCCCACCTTCAAATTAAGAGAACAACTCTCCTTACAAAAAGCCAATTTAAAATATCATGAGATTAACTAAGCTGCCATTCCTACACTATGTCAGTCGATACTTAGCATTGTCAAGAACAGCCGAACAAGTATGTTGGATTCCGCAAGCCATTTGTTCTTGTGGCTCTAATCCACACCCACCACAATTTGCCCCTGATTCACTTGAAAAACAAAAACGGCACCAAACTTTTTTATTTACAACCATTCGCCAATATTCTTCTTCTTCTTCTTCACACTTTAACAACAACATCAAGAAGAATACACCTAACAAAATGTCAATTGACTTCGAAAACTTAACTGCTAAACAAGGATATCCACTCTGGGAACAAACTCCTGAAGAACTTGCTCAAATTGCTGATCAATTGATCAATCAAGAAAAGACTCTTTTTGATGAAATTGCTAAAATTGAAAATCCAACTTTAGACAATGTATTGAAACCTTTTGCTAGATTCAATAATGAGAATCGATTCAAGGAACTGCAAGTTACCTTTTATCAATATGTATCTACCAATAAAGATTTACGTGATGCTTCTACTAAGGCTGAAACATTGATGGATGAAAAATCAATTGAACAATGGTCAAGGCCTGAAGTTTTCCAAGTTTTTCAAAAATTGTATAATTCAGTTAGAGAAACTGGAATTGACCCAGAAACTAAAAGATATTTAGATAAGACTGTTACTGCTTTTAAGAGAAATGGTTTAGCTTTACCTCCTGCTACTAGAGATGAAATTAAAAAATTGAAGGTTGAGTTGAGTAACTTAGGTGTTCAATTTGCTAAGAATTTGAATGAAGAGAAAGGATTTGTAACCTTCACTAAGGAAGAATTGGATGGTGTTCCAGAAGATGTTATTGGTCAATATGCGAAAACTGAAGAAGATGGTCAAGACAAATTGAAGGTTACTTTCAAATATCCTGATATTTTGCCATTGTTGAAGCATGCTCACAAGGGTGAAACCAGAAAGAAGGCGTATATTGCTTACAACAATAGATGTTCTGAAAATGGTCCTCTTTTGGAAAGAATCATCAAGATAAGATATGAATTAGGTCAATTGCTTGAGTATGATACTTATTCCGACTTCGTTTTGGAAGAAAGAATGGCCAAGAAAAAGGAAACTGTCTTAAACTTCTTGACTGATTTAAGAACTAAGTTAACTCCAGTTGCTGAAAAAGAATTGGAAGAATTGAAGAAGTTAAAGAATGACCATTTAGTTTCCCGTGGATTAGAACCAGAAGATAAACTTTACGCCTGGGATTCAGCTTATTACAATGAGTTATTATTAGAAAAGAAGTATAACGTCGATCATCTCAAGATTGCCGAATACTTCCCATTAGAATCAACTGTTAACAAAATGCTTGGATTTTATGAAACTATTCTCGATATCAAATTTGTCAAAATTGAGAAACCAGCAAAGGGATCCACTTGGCACGAAGATGTTCAAATGTTTGCTGTTTATAAGAACATCAAGCATGGCTCACCACGTTCAGAATTTATGGGCTGGCTCTATTTTGATTTACATCCAAGAGAAGGTAAATACGGACATGCTGCCAATTTTGGATTAGGTCCAGGATATTTAGAAGAAGATGGTACTACTCGTCATACTCCAGTTACTGCTTTAGTTTGTAATTTTACAAAGCCAACTCCAGATAAGCCATCATTATTGAAACATGATGAAGTTACTACTTTCTTCCATGAATTAGGACATGGAATTCATAATATTTTAGCTCAGACTAAGTATTCTAGGTTCCATGGTACTAATGTCGAACGTGATTTTGTTGAAACGCCATCTCAAATGTTGGAATATTGGACCTGGTCTAAGGATGAAATCAAAGGATTATCCTCCCACTATAAGACTGGGGAACAAATTGATGATGAGTTAGTTGATCAATTAGTAAAGACTAAACATGTCAATACTGGTATTTTCAACTTACGTCAATTATTTTTTGGTATTTTTGACATGCAAGTTCATACTATTAAGAATAAATCTGAATTGGATGCTTTGGATTTATTCAAGAAATGGAATGATTTAAGAGAAGAAATCACCTTGATTAGTAGTGATAATAACCCAACTAGGGGATATTCTTCCTTTGGCCATATTGCTGGAGGTTATGAAAGTGGATATTATGGTTATTTGTATTCGTTGGTTTATGCCGCAGATATTTATTATACTCTTTTCAAGAAGGATCCAATGAATGTTGAGAGTGGTATTAGATACAGAGATATTATTTTAACTAGAGGTGGATCTAGAGATAGTATTGATAATTTGGAAGAATTACTTGGAAGAAAACCAAATTCTGATGCTTTCCTTCAAGAAATCTTTGGTTAAATATGATATTTTCTCAAACGTAGATTAATGTATGTTTTATACATCTATAAACGTAAATATATATATATATAAACAGAATAGCAAAATGTAAAAATCTAACTAATTAAAATTTAATACAACGTATTGGTTTAAGCGTCTTCACTTTGACTTTCAAAAGGAGTAAGCTTAGCAGTAGCTTCCTCCCAATTACCATGGAAATAAGTGATTTCTCTAATAGCAGCCACGATATCTTCATAAGTACCTCTAACTTGTTTGGTACTATCTCTATCTCTCAAAGTAACGGAATGATCCTTAAGAGAGTCGAAATCGATAGTAATACCGAATGGAGTACCCAATTCATCATTTCTAGCATATCTCTTACCAATAGAAGCAGAGGAATCATCAACCTTGAATGGAATTTGTTGTTTTCTTAAGAAATCAGACACATTCTTGACAATTGGTTGAAGTTCGGGATTGTTTGATAACGGAACTAATAAGACCTTAGTTGGGGCCACAATTGGTGGAAGAGAGAGGACACCTCTGTCTTCGTCACCTTCTCTAGTCCAGAATTGATGTTCGAGAATAGAGTAGACAATACGACCAATACCGAATGATGGTTCAATGACATTAGGGGTATATTCTCTAACGTGTGTGGTTCTCTTGACTCTTTCAATCTTGATATATTCAGAGTCTAATTCAATCTTATCTTGAATTTCTGGGACTTGAATGACAATCTTACCAGTGTCATTTAATTCTTTGGCTAAATCTTCATATTCACATTGAGTTCTGGTAAGTAAGAAATTTTGAACTTTACCAGCATCCTTTCTAAATCTTGGACCGAATTTCTTCATAGCAAGAGTAGCTTCAAAGTCTTCGGTAGTGATTGGTTCATCTAAAGTTTGTTGAACATTTAATTTTTGGTTAGTTCTTTGAGAGTGGACAGTTAAATCATAAGCAGATCTATCAGCACAACCAACACATTCAATCCAACCATATGAGGTTTCTAATTCTGCATCCCAACAATCAGAAGCATAATGGGCCATTTCATTAGACATGTGTTGTCTAAATCTCATTCTGTTTGGGTTGACACCAACTTTGGTTAAGAATAAGAAAACTCTAGCAAGGAAATAACCCAAAGTTTCATTGTCAACCATACCGGAAGCAACAGCTTCACCAATTGTGGATTCAATAACGTGAGCATGACCTGCTTCTTGGATATCCTTTGGTAAGAAGTTTAATTTGATATGTTTAACATCTTTGAATTTTGGATGAGATTTATCAAGTGGATCAACATAATGTTCAATTTCAGCCATTAAGAATTCACGAACTCTTAATAAACCTGCTCTTGGGGCAATTTCATTTCTGAAAGATTTACCAATAGAAGCAGAAGCGAATGGCATACGACCATTATTGAAATCTAATAATTTGTTAAAGTTCAAGAATTGACCTTGAGCAGTTTCAGGTCTTAAGAAACCTTTCAAGTTACCTGAAGCACCAATTGCAGTATCAAACATCAAGTTGAATGGAACTGGTGGTTCTAATTTAGTACCACCGACTGGGTTGACGATGTTGTGTTTTTCGATGATTTCTCCCAATTCTGGACCACTATAACCATCAATTTTGGCTAAGATGCTTTCATATTCTTCAACAACGTCATCATCTAATTTGACAAGGACAATTTCCTTAACTTTCTTCTTTCTCTTTTTCTTTTCATCACTTTCTTCTTCTTTATGTTCAATACCTCTGGCGGCTTTGTCACCTTTTAATCTTGATTCTAAAACTTCTTCAACTAAATGATCAGCTCTAAAGATTTCACCAGTTTTTAAATCTCTACACATCCAATCAGAGAATCTGTCAACGTGACCAGAAGTTTTTAAAACATCATGAGGAGTCAACATGGTAGCTTCAACTTCCAACATGTCTTCTTCTAAGATGAAATGTTTTCTCCAAGCATCAACAATGTTGTTTTGGAAAGCACAACCTGGAGGACCGAAATCGAATAAACCGGCAACACCACCGTAGATTTCAAAAGCAGGGGCATAAAAGAATCTTCTCTTTAAAACTTGTTCTAATTTTTCCCTAGTAAAGGAACAGGCATGGGCACAAGCAGCACTGGTAGTAGTGGTAGCTTCAGTTGACATTCTTGCAATGAAAATTTTATTTAAAACAGTTGAAGATTGTCGACGAAATAAAAATCTAGTAAATGCAGTAATCTTGAATTATCAGCTATTTAAGCAACAATTGAATCTTAATAATATTTACCTTTAAACGGAGAAAGGAGGAGTGGATTGATTAATTCTGAATTCTCAATTGACTCATTAAAATTTTCTTCTTTGTTTCTCCAAGTTTTTTTTCATTGTAAATTGTGAACTGAAAATTTTTTTAATTAGGCATTTTATTTTTTCCCGTTCCAATTAACCAGCCCTGACGTAAATATGAGAACAGGCTTATGAATGATTAGAGTATGACGTGTTATTACCCCAAACAATTGGAGAGAGACAGGAGACGTCTATTGACCTGTCTTCGTGTCACGAGCTTCAATAGAAGTGAGAAGTGTTACAAAGTGAAAACTCATACAATTCAGTACATTGAATTCACAAAGTCAATGCCTAAATCCCGCTTTTCCTGTCCTATGAAGCCCTGAATTTAATCGAGTTTCTCTGAGAAAGTAGAATTTGCGTCCATAAAGCTCAGATTGACTAAGAGGAAACATAAATGGAAGTGAGCCTTAAAGTTTACTCTCTATAGATTCGTTTATTTGATCTATCTATACGAAAGGGTCCAAACCCCACTAGAAAAGAGGGGCAAACACGCTTTAATCCCCAATATCCGATTAAATAGTTTTCTTCTGTTCTTGGTCCTCATACTCTAAGTCTTTGTAATTTGGGAAATGAGTCCAATACCAATATCTTATCTGGGACCATGGGAATACTGTACAATTACCCTTTTCATTGGCATACCAAGAAACACATCCACCAAAAGCTGTTCCAAATACAGACTTTTTTAATTCAGCTTGAATTGTCTTAAACCAGTTATAATACACCTCTGTCTTTACCACAACCGATTTCTTTTTACCTTCAATAATTGGCTTACATGTCTTAACATAATAGTCAAGACTATTCTCAATAGCCATAGCTACTGAGGAATGTCCAGTTGCTCCATTGGGTCCAACTATCATGAATAAATTAGGACAGTCTCGAACCATAACCGTTCTATAAGCGCTTGGACACTCTTTTGCCCAAAGATCACCTATATTTGTCTGATCGCGACCTATAAGTTCATAATTATGGAAACTTCTTTCAACATCATACCCAGTACAAGCGACAATAATATCAGCTTTTATATGCTCTCCATTCTCAAGAATAAGACCATCCTCAACACAACACTTAACACGATCTTCTATAAGAGATACTCTAGGATCATTTAATGATGGCATATAATAGTTATCAAACACCAATCTTTTGCAACCAGCTTTAAATTCCGGAATAAGCAATTCGTGGAACTTTTTAGGAGCATATTTTTCAACATATCTCTTGGAAGTACGCTTATGCATCCAACGGAGAAACATTGAAATATACCCATTGCCTTTAAAAAGTGGCATTCTCATTTCAGCAATAGTAATTGCAACCAAACGAACTAATTTCAATCCAATCCAACTGAATGATAATAATTTATATGCTGCAAATAGAAACTTTGGAAGAGGAGGCATGTAATATTGTCTGGATCTAAAAATCTGCGTGATTGATTTTGCTCCATAGTGCTCTGACAAAAGTGGTGGAATAACTTGACTGGCAGAACATCCATTTCCAAGTACAATAATTCTCTTATCCTTGAAAGATACTGAATGATCCCAAAGGGCTGAATGCATGTATGTTCCTTTAAACGTGTCCAAGCCATCGATATCTGGGTGAATTGGTTGAACTAGACCACCTTGACATGTAAGTACAATGTTAGCTGTATGGATCAACTTTTTTCCCGTTTCTACATCTCGAGCATTAATTGTCCAGTTTCCATCTTTATCATTATACACACAACTCTCAACAGTTGTTTTGAATCTAGTTTTCTCTGCTAGTTTGTATTTCTCGGCAATCATCAAGATATATTCTTCCATCTCATATCCAGGTGGTTGAACTCTGGACCAATTCGAATTCAAAGCGAATGAAAAGGAATACCATAAAGCTGGAATATCACATGCAACACCAGGATAGGTATTGACATACCAAGTACCTCCAAAATTATCATGCCTTTCGAAGATTTGGATATCTTGTTCTTTTAGTTTATCCATTGTATAGATTGCACTTGCCATTCCACCCAAACCTGCCCCGAGGGTAAATACTTTTGAAGATGTTTCAATTATGGGCAAAGCATCATTTTGAGGAACTTTTGCAATAGGTCCTAAAATTTTATTAGAGGCTTGATAATTGATCCTAAAGTTTTCTGGGTGATCGTGTGATTCTTGGGTTAAGGTGACATACATTGTTTGTTGTTGGAACTAGATGCTTTGGGGGAAGGATGTTCCTCGAAGATTTCCTTTCCCTTTTATAGTAAAAATCTTGATCCAGAATTGAATGCTTCGTATTCATGTGAAGCCTCCTCCACTTCGTCCCCCACAAAAAAATAATAGCAGAACGGAAATTGCGTCGCGCTTTCTTGCATATGACAGTTAATAAAAAGACAATGTTTAGAGTCCCCAACAATTTTAATAAGACAATATGTCTTGAATCCTATGATATTTATTTGTAGACTCCTTGTAGACAAATCAAGAAAGACCACGGGAAAATTACGTTTGTTAGATAGCACAGATCCCAGGGTTGATGTCCCCAGTTCACGGTCTATCTAGTAGATGTCTTTCACCAAAAATATGTCCTTTACACGTACTTACAATAACTATATACTGAACCTATGCCAATTTATATTCTGTACCTTCTATAAACAGTTCCTCATCATACTCATCTTGTGAATATGGATTAATTTCATCCTCATCAACAACTCTCTTTATAACAATTACAATTAAAGTAACCACGCACGACAATGCAAAAATCTTATCAAACCAATTGTCTATAAACATAACCTCTCTAATTGAAACATTTGGATTACTAATTGCACTCCCAGATAATGATAAGATCTTGGAGATTTGATTTGACAAGTTTGCTGGCAAGTTGGTTCTTATCAACAACGCTGTGGAGATGACATAAATGCCAACTAATTCGGCAATGACTACGTGTTTTAACCAACTTTTGATCGCTTCTGATGCATGACTGGTTGGAATAAGCCTACTAAAGGATTTGAATGTAAACAAAACATTTGAAAATGAACATATGAACAAACTTCCTGATAATACAAAACTTAGCTGATTGACTAATTGAGCTTTTGAAACAGGAAGATTGCTGAAAATAGATAGAATGACTTTCGCCAACGTTATTGCCAATGCATCTTTGCTTGTCGGAGTCTCTGAATCATCGGCGATGTTTTCAGGTAAGTCATTCCCATATAGATACATCCACGGAAGCTTGATGGCAAATACATTAATTATTCTATAAATACAGTATATTCCAAACAAAATATTTCCCCAATAAAGTGTTTTCACAATCAATGTGGTTCCTTCAGTCTTACTGGCTTGTTGTTTACGATATCTGGCAATAATCCTGATCAAGTCATCATAAAGCAGGTTTCTTAATGCTATGAAAGAGTCGATTTCTTTCTTTAATTCGTCTTCTTCGGAATTTCCATTCAACATTGATAAATTGGCAAATGATTGGACTTTATGAAATAATGAACCAAGATGCTTATTCTTCTTCGGACTGAGAATGTTATCTCTTGAAGAGTTGCCATTGGATAGGTTGTATATAGATCCACTTTTTTCTGTTAATAATCTATTTAACTCAAGCTTACGTTTGGTCAATAACGAAGAAGTGTTGTTAAAATATTGGATTGCTGAATTTATATCACCTTCACCAATCTCTTTCTTCTGCTTAGATTCATTGAATAATTCTTTTGATTTTCCAAGTATCAAACGACCCATATAGTTACTGAGCGAAAATACTCTATATGGAGTAGATGTACAACCAATACCTGACAAGATTGCCAACACGGTGATTCCTACGATAGAAACCTCATTGATTTTCCGTTCAATCATATTACGAGTCTTGATATTGGTCAGCTGACTTGTTCTTGGAGTGAAGGTTTGGGTAAGGTCTCCCGATTTATGCAAAATATACAACCAACCGACAAATATTAAACCAACTAAAACCATTCGTTTTGATTTTAATGATCTCGGGAAGATATCTTGGGATACAAACAAATTGATTATACCAATGGGTAACAAGAACACTAACAAAAACATCAACAGATCGATTGTAAACTTGAACATCATCAACCTAGCTCCAACATCAAAATAGTCAGCTAATTCACACATCATTAATGTAATTAAACCAATGCTCAACGATATAGTCAAACTAAACAAAATTCCAACGAAACTATGTTTAACAATGTCTAGTCTAGTACGTGAGCTATTACCATTGCTTGGTTTATCGCTATTATAATCATACTCGGAGTTCTCTTCTACGTTGACTTGCATCAAATTAAGTCCATATTTCTTCCTTATAGAATTCTCTAAATATTCATTTATTCGAGCTTTTGGGACATGCAAGGAATTGGAATACTTTGGAATGATGTTCTTATTGTAAACAAACGTATAAGTCCAGATAAAGACACTCAGTATGGTTGTTAGATATGACAAGATGCTAAAGACAGACATTCGAAATTTTCATTTGCAACACGATCGGATAATTATGGAAATAGAATCAGGTAGAATAAATCTGTTTAAAAAGATGGAAAATCGACAATGGGCAGTATGTCAAATGCTAATGTATGTTGATATTTTCCAAACTCTAGGAGGCTGAACTTTTTTGATTGGATGAAGAAACAATGGATCGTGATAGTGGTTGCTTTAGATTAAAAACAAAGAGATACATGTAGAATGAGGTACGTGTAAAATGAACAAAATTTTTGGTGTCCACAACTTTTAGTCACGTGAGTCATTTTAAGCAATTTTACACGACCCTTCTTTTTTCTTTGAAAATTTTAATCGAAATTTTTCATATTGATGCAAAGGTTGTAAAGGTTTTTCAATAGCAGTGCCTATACCCATTCCCTTAAGTAAATAGATATAATCCAAGATGGCGATGCGTACAAAAATGGAAAAGAGGATGAGGAAGTTCCTCAAAGATCACCTCAAAACTCGTAAAATATTGGGTGCTAGAATTGCTCAAGGTGGTGTGAAAAAGCCCGTCGACTTGATGAAATTACAAATGGCTCCACAAGTCTTTTTGTTTAAGAATCTATTCACAGGGCAAGTCTTATACTCACAAGTGCCTGCTTACCATCAAGATCAAATTGATGCCCAATTTCCAAACCCAAATTGGCAAAATAGAAAACCTTCAAGAAGAAATGATTTATGGAGAATAATGTGTGTTGCAACATTTGCTAGTCATGAATATGCAGTTGCTGCCTATAAAGGTTTAGTCCAATTGAGAGAAGTAAGAGATCTTCATCAACCAAAAGAAGCTAAGCAGTTAAGAAAAAAGAACGAAGAGGGACACACCTGGTACTCGGGTCAATTTAGACCCACCTATCAACAAGAAGCTGTTGCTGATTTAGCTCACGTCATAGATGAATTCGAATTGGAAAATACCAAATTAACATGGGAAAATGTTTGGAGAAAAGGAGAGGATAAGCATTGGAGAGGTGATCTAGTTACACATGATACTTTACCACCGTTTAACCCAAGAGACCAAACAGTTATGTTGGATTCATTGAGAGAAAAGGCGATTAAAGCATTTGCTGAAGAAAGGAACCAGCAAGGATTGCAACAGCAGGAACAACCAAATGTAGTCGCTTAGACACCCAAAACAGTATTGTTAATGTTCCGCACCTGCGGAAACAAAGCATAAGTATCCTTGTGTATATACATTAGCGCGAATGTCATGACAATTGTACATAGAACAACTTTTCTAATATAAATTATTATTTAGTATGGGTGTACCGCTGTAACATCATCGTGGTTACTCTCTGCTCCCCTCTCGGATCCTTAATACAATGTGATTACCGAATTAGGCAAGATATCCAATCACGTGACATTAGCTAATATATAGCCGAAGCGGCACAACAAAAAAGTCCGCCCATTTGCTTTTTTTCTATTTGGGCCGCTCATTTTTTTCCTGTCTGCCCTTTTCCTTCATTTCATTAAACCATTTGTGCAACAACCCCACTTTCTTTCTACCTAAATTAAGTACAGTGAAATAGTGGGAACTATGGATGTTTACTATAGCAAACTGATGGGCAATGGTACTGTTACCAGCAAGTTCCGTTTGAGCCCTTTAGGGACACTGGGGTCTGGTTCTACAGCCCCTTCAATTCAACTGAATCAGTCTAATTTAAGAAATGAACCAAAAGGAGGCCCACCAGCAAAGGAAGGTCAAAATTCCGAGAATCCGACGGAGTCATCAGATGGTGTTAGCCACGAGGCTCCGATCAATGGAGTTTCTGCGTTGATTAATGCCGCTGAGTCAACTGAGAGTAGCCGTGAAAATCGATCTGAAATAGTGAGTAATAATCTGCTAGGACTCAAAAGAGAAGCAGAAAGTTCGGAAACGTACCATCCAAGTAACTGTAATAGATGTTACAGATTGAAAAAGAAATGTTCCCGAGAGTATCCCAAATGTACAAATTGTACTAAATCGGGCTCTGATTGTGAATATGTGAACAGGATGACTAAGCGAAAACGGAAATCACCCATAACTTATACATTCAAAGAGAGTCCTGCTCATCCTCAGAATGGAGAAGTTTTCTATATGTCAAGCGGACCTTCCGCACAAAATCAACCTGTTCATAACGGCTTACGTCAAGTATCTGTATCGTCTTTGTTGGTTCCGGAAGTACAAGCCATAAGAGAGGTTTCTTCTACTACGCATGTGCCAAGGAAATTACCACCACTTGTGCCCAGGAAGGATATTAATCCAGTCAGAAATTCGTTAGTTGCAAGTGTCAACCACAGGGCCATTCTGGTCAGATCTTCAACTAATCTTAAAGAAGAATTTATTACTATGAAGGCAATCGCCCATTTGGAGTTACCATTAACATTTGCTTTAAACTATTTTGAGAATTTTAGCCATAAGTATCCATTTATTAATAAAAGAGAGTTTTTGGATAATTTCACGAAGATTCAATTTGAAAAGGAATCAATTGTTAATTTGGATGTTTATTTATTAATGAGTATCGGTTGTTTATTATATGATTCAAAGTGTAAGACTAATCATTATCAAGAATATTTCAAAGAAAAAAGTATAGAGGCAGTGGTTGATGTTCTTGATTTGGGATTTAATGAGTATGATATTGAAAATATGAGATTATTGGTATTGTTGACCGTATATGGTATCACTTCAATGAATGGAGATTTATGTTGGAATCTAATTGGAATGTTAAATAGAGCAATTGTTAAATGGGATCTTTATAATAATTTGGATGATATAGTTAAAGAAAGACTTGTATGGAGTATACATAATTTGGACAAGGAACTTAGCTTATTATTGAAAAAGCCATCCCAGTTTCCAAACTACGAGTATCTTAAATGTACTTATCCATTAACGAAGAAGTTATATGAAGACGAGAATTTAGAATTCATTAATGAGAATATAGGTTTGGGTATGCTTGAGACGTCCTTGACTCATTTAAGATTAGTATCTAAGCCAGCTGATAGTCTCACCCAATTGTCTTCTGATTTCGAGAAATGGCGTGTTAATTCAAGTAAGATCATACATAAAGCATACGCTCAATCACCATACTTACAAGATTATATATCCTGGATCAACCTACATTATTATTACTTATTAATTGAATTAGATCAAGTTTCACATAGTCAATCATTTCAATTCACCTTGCAATTCTTATCAAGTTGTTTTACATTACTTATTTCAAGCTCAGATAATGCACCTACTAATCCATCTGAAAGAAAAGCCAATATTAAGATTGCGTTATCGGCATCCTTGTTCTGGTTTAACAAGTTATTTAACGTTATCATATACAATATTGAATCTTTGAAAGGGATTCTTGAATCAAAAAATTCTACGGCTACAGAAGATACCTTAAAACTCAGTGAGTTTAATAGTAACTTACAATTAATTTTAAATCTATTAAAGTATATTAGAGGTAGCAAGCAAACAGAGGGAAGCAGCACGTTGACGTATTTCCAGAAAATGGCTAAATTGATTGACGGCACGGTTGATAAACTTAGTGGATTGAGTTTGCATGTGATGAAGTTTAATAATTTTAGTTCTACTGAGGATGAGAAACAAGAAGTATTGAAATCTATAGATGATATTCTGTCCTACTTGACGAATTCCTTTTAGTTTATAGTTTAAATCAATCAAAGTAATTTGAATTTTTTGCACCCATTGTAGAGCAAGTTATTTTTTTAGTTTCTTCCCTAAGCGAGTATTTGGCGTTTACGCAACCCTTACAATAATGGAAAACTATTGCCTTGCGATTACTCAAAGAGGGTTAACTTACCACAACCTTGGAGGCTGTGTTTTTTACAAACTAGACAATTAGTTGAGATGGAAAAGTGTAAGAAGAAGCAATGTCGGAGATTAGATCAAAAGTGGCTTACACTTTCGGCAATATTTTTCTTTCCGAAATTCTTCCGCAGTGGTCAACAGTTTTGTCAACTAACCTTCTACATTTCCTTAAAAATGGGACAGGATCGGTAAATATACACTCAGAGGGTTAACATAGTGTAGCCGATGGTCTGGATCATTTTTCCGAGGGAAATTCACGTCGAGACTCTGGTTTTCCAAATTTTGCTGCGGATCTCGGTTAAAACGGGGGCAATTTTTTCCTAAACATCACTCGACATTTAAAGTTGTCACAGCAATAATAAAGCATGTCATCTTGCTTAACACTTTTCTTTATCAAAGAAAACTACTATATTTAATCTCCCTCAAACGACGTCTTTTTCTTTTAGCTTATTAATGTTACTGGGAAATCATTATTTTAAAACATTTCAAATACTTCAACTACGATTTACAACCTAAATTCATCACAAATATTTTCCGAGAATGACTAAGCCATTGATCAGATTCAAAAAATTTCATTACTACTTAATACCATTAATCAGTCTAATAGTATGGTGGGGTATGTTAATTGCCCTTTTGGCAGCCTGGGCAGCCCAAGGTAAACCCATATATTCATTCATGTCGAGATATCAAAATCCAGTATATATTTCCGACGTTGCAGCTACCAATCTTCAACCATTATTCATTGCTTGTTCTTCATTCCAAGCTATTTTCTTTGTCGGAACTTTGGTAATGGGGATATATCTCAGGAAGAAGGAGAAGATTCAACCATATATCCTGACGACACAGCCAAAATTTGCCATTGCCAGTGTTGTATGTGCCGTGATTGGGCAGTTGGGGATTATTTTTACATCGATATTTAATACGAATCATTTCCATACTTTGCATTTGACAATGGTGGGGATCTTTATTGCGTTTTGCTTCTTTGCATGTTGTTGCGATTTCGTGGTTCTGTTTAAATTTGGGAATAATCCGGATAAACTTAATCCCCTACATGATGGGGTGAAGTTTGGGACCTGGAAATGGGCTAATTTATATATGGTTTCATTCTTTTTAAAGTGTGTATGGCTAGCTGCTGCATTTTCGTTTGTTATTTGTTTTGGATATTTTATGGGACATATGAGTAGAGGTTTGAGTGCTTCTTTTGAATGGTTAATTGCTTTTTGGTATGGATTGCTTTTGATATTGTGGTCGATGGATTTATTCCCAAGTGCATTGAGACATTATAGAAGGAAGCACCCAAATGTATATCAAGAGAAGAACAATGAACCTCCACTAACTTCATTAGGCAGCGAAGAAGCAACATTTGTAAACTCCCAAGACGTATAGATTTACATAAGGTTTTAACATAGAATTTCGGCTTTATACAATACGAACTTTTGATTTCCTAATTGGGAATTGCGCGGGAAATATTTTCAATGACCGGAAATATCACAAGAAAATAATTTTGTAGAGAAGAGAAGAGCACAAGAGCGTAAAAGCGAAAGCCACACGAAAAAAAAAACTTCTTTCCAGAATATCTTCTTCTTCTTCTTCTTCTTCTTATCCTTTATAGGACCCCTATGTCTTCTGATCGTGTAAAGACAAATAGTTTTGATGAAACAGTGAAGCTCCAACGTCTGATGGAGCTGTCCGACATAACATCACAAATCGAATATGCCCCGTCACAACATGCCGATCAACATACAATGCATCGAACTCATACTATTGCTTCAGGAATCTCACTTCATTTATTAGATGATCCGGATAGGTTCCCAGATGGATGGAATAATCGAGCTATGTTAACCCTCTTTGGATCCTTCCTAGGCATGGTCGGCTCACTTGGATTCGTGAATACCGGAGGGGTATTACAATCATACATCCTGGAAAATATCCTACCTGACACTCCTCAATCATCTATAGCTTGGATCTTCTCGGTTTATAATTTCTTGGCATTTGGAATGACCCTTATTCTGGGCCCAGTATTTGATAAAGTCGGATGTAAGATCCCAATAGCTTTCGGGATCGTTGTTATGATGATCGGGTTGATGTTGACTAGTGTATGTAAAGAAGTATATCAATTTGTGCTAAGTTATGGAATAATAGCGGGATTAGGTGCGGCGTTTACATTTGGACCTTTCGTTGCTTGTTTGAGTCACTACTTCTTACAAAAGCGGGCGCTTGCTATTGGTGCTTCATATACAGGAGGTGGAATTGGTGGGGTTATGTTGCCATTGATTTTTAGAGCATTGTTCCCCAAAGTTGGTTTTGGATGGACGGTGAGGATAGGTGCATTTATTTCGTTTTTCTTTTTGGTAGTGGGATGGTTGTTGGTTAAGGATAGACATGAAGAGTTTCGTGAACATAGTGATGAGCATATTGTTAAGCAGGTTATTGGATCGGTTGATTTTATGATTTTGTTTAAGAACAAGTTATTTTTTGTCATTGTTGTTGGGTTATTGTTTAATGGGTTGGCTTTTTTGATCACTCTTGTTATCTTACCATCATATTCAACTGCTTGGGGTAACTCTCCATCGGAATCATATTTATTGATTGTCGTTTTCAACTGTTTTAGTATCCCAGGAAGAATTATCCCCAGTTTCCTCGCTGATCATTACTTGGGAAGATTTAATACATTTTGTCTAACCACTACATTTTCATTAATTGCATTTACAGCCATTTGGCTTCCATTTGGTCGTCACAATATCATTAGTTTATTCATGTTTGCTGGTTGTTTTGGATTTTCAAGTGGATCCGTGTTGAGTTTACTGGCAAGTTTGATTGCTAGTATTGTTAAGACACAAGATGTAGGAAAAGGGTTAGGTACTGCATTTTTTATACTTTCGATGGGAGATTTATTTGGGATACCAATTGCGGGCGCAATCGCTACAGGATCACCTGAGAGTTTTACTCATTTGGTGATTTTTTTGACTGTTTGTGCTGGTGTTGGTTGTGTTGTCAGTTATGTATCAAGATACCTTTACGAAGGGTTTAATTTAAACAGAGCATAGAAACATTTTATAGAGCTTATTTATTTATTTAAACATTAATAATTAATTATTACAAAAATCCTGTTTTGGGTACTTTAGAATAATCACTGTATCCTTCTATAGTCACTGCGTGTAATCTACACAAATTTCCTCTCATCATAAGTCTCCACATTGATCTGGTTAGAAGAATTTCCACCATATCTCCAGTCAAAGATTCAACTGTAGTTTTCCTCTTTTTAGATAGAGGTTCTAAGTCTGGATTCTCTTCTGGTTCCTTGATATCCAATATAGTGTCAACCCAATTTGGTTTCATTTCCATTCCATTAATTGTACATTTAGATTCACTAAAGCCGACAAAAAAGCTTACACTTGGATTATCTTTATCTGTATCATCAATAATTGCCCCATCTAAAAAATCTTTAAATACTTGCTTTATTTTATTACAAAATTTATTTGTAATTTTAACAAGCGCAAGCTTTGTAGATTTATTAAGAATCAATTTAACTTGAGAATTCTTTTGATCATCTTCAAAATCAATTTGGAAAACTAAATTTCTAGTTATTTCTTTTGTTATATAAGGACGAGTATATCTAATCGGTAATTCAATATTCCTATCTTTAGATAAATTACTTACACCCTTTCTTGTTAAATCATTAAGATTCATAATAATTTGTGGGCATCCCTTTGAACTTATTTCTATACGATGGTTCAATATTCTTTGTTCTAATTCCATAAACCGATAATATCTACATTCTTTGATTAATAATTGACGATGTTGATCATTCTTTATAATTAAATGATTTCCTCGAAGTAATTCAAGTAAGTCGGCAAACAATTGAGGTGACCTATTTGGCACACTACTTGGTTTCTGAGGAGGTGGACGTAGCATATTTTTCTGTTCAATTATTTGAAAATTATCTAATAACGACCGTTCATTATTCATGGAGAAATAATTTGGGTGATTACCAGTATTTATAAATAAACTTTGAGGTATTTTAAATGAAACTCCTCCAATGTTTGCAAAAATATCTTGTTCAGTTAAGATCTTTTGTAATCTATTTAATCCAAAATAAAAACAATCAGACCAAAGATGAACAAATTCATAATCATCTTTAACATCAATTGAATATCCTTGTAAATGATTATAGATCTTTTCAAATATTGTTGGATTTCTATCAAAGAATAAAACTTTATGTTCATTATCAGGTTCATTAAAATATTTAGTAAAATAAGATGGTGCATCTGACGATAATGATAATCCACTTAATTTAAATAATTTATAACCAACTTGAATTGAATAAACCTTTTCATGAGGTAATATTGTTGGAACTGATGGATCAAATTCTTCTAATGTTTCAATGTTCATCCTTTCTTTCTTTCTTTCTTTCCTTCTTTCTTTATTTATACTCTATAGCCAATTGCTACCCTTCCTGTTCTTAGTGTATATTTATTTTTGGTACAAGATACACGCCAATTGATAGTTTTTAAAATTAAACTATTAACCCAACGTACATACGGAGTTTGATTAGCAACTAGGTGGGTGGGGATTATAACCAAGAAGGAGTTGATGATAAAGATGATGATGCTTTACGCACCCACCAGAAAAATGATTAATTTGACAAACAAAAGGGTACCAAACCCCATCTCATTTCACATGCCCTTTTATGTTTTTTTTCTCTTGATCTTCTCTCTCTTTTTCCCCAGAATTTATTATTAGTGCAAAAAAGATCTTAAATGACACGAAAGGGTAGAAACTTTGATGGTTGTTGGACTTGTAGAGCAAGAAAGGTCAAGTGTGATCTAACACGACCTTATTGTCAACGATGTCTAAAATCAAATAAGAAATGTCAAGGTTATAATATCATATTAGGTTGGTCAAATCCATTAACCATATCAACTAAAGATCAATCAATGATTAGTTTAAATACAGATGAAGATTTAAATAATTTCCAAAGAAGAAATGTTGAATTGGTTAAATTCCCTCCATCAATGTATTATAAAACTTATGAAGAATTAGGAGAGAAGTTAGATGAATTAGAAGGAATCACAGTTGTAAGTGGAAGCATCTGTACTGTTGGACCTTTTAGTAGTTTCAAATTGAATGAATCTCAAGATCCAGTGATAATACCGACAGATATGATTAAAGAAGAAACCACACCTACACCGGATGAAAAGCCATTACGAAAAAAACCACGAAAGTCACTTGCAATATCAATACAAGAAGATTCCCCTGTCTCCTCCAGTAATATAGATACAATAGCACCTTCGTCTACTCCTACTCCACCAATTAGTGCAAATATCCATGACTCCCTCTTTTCCAAGACAAGCAATTCCTGGGTCCATTATGAATTATTAGATTATGCTAAATTGACTATTCTTGCAATAAAAGGAACAGATTATAAATTCAATGAACAGAATATGTTACATATCTTATATCCTAAATTCTTTCCAAACTTAGATTCTGATGATTGGTTTGCTAATGCTCAATTGGTAAATAATAAACTATACAAGCTTTCAAAGACATCCCTTGAAATCTTTCCTTTATTTCCAAAATTATTAAATGAATTCACTTCAGATATATTTTCATTTAATAGAATGATATTTTCATATAATTATTTCGATATTCATGTCATGCCAGCTGTTAAAAAAATTATTGGAGAATTTGTATGTTATGATTTCACTTCATGGGATTTAAACAAATTACATCATGATAATCAAGACAATCAAGATAATCAAATCGATCCTACTCCAGATGAATTAATAACAGATATAAAGCTTGCCATTATCGATCTAGTGTTAGGTTTAGCCGCATTTAAATATTCATGTAAATATACTAAATCCGTTTCAAATGATGCAGATAAATATCATGTTGATGAGTATTTACGAATAAGTATAGAATTAAGGAAATTGAGTATAACAATAATAAATTATCATTTGGATGAATATGATAATAATAGTGAAATCCTCGCTGAGATAAGTAAATCAGAACCAAAATATGAGGAATATGAAAGTTTATTAATTATGGCCTTGATTTTCCAAATTGAATTAGATTGTAGACTTAGTGTCTTTGAAAATTTGGAACTTATATTTGCAATTGGAGATTATATTATTAAGAATAAGCTTAAACATCAAAAATTAACTAATTTTACCAAATTCTTAATTCAAGTATTTAAGATATCTCATATTTTTTACGAAAGTACACAAGCAGTGAATATTTTTAATTATTCAATAAGCAAGGGTGATGAAGAAATTAATTATCGTGACTTGAATGAGAATTATGATTTGATAAGTATGAGTGATGGAGAAGATGATGATGAAGTAGATGACGATGATGATGATGATGACGAGGACGACAACTATGGCAATCAGAAAAACGGAAGGGAAAGCTCTTCAAAGAAACTACAGATAAAACCGACGATAAACAATCTTGTCATATCCAATACCACCACAGAAGGAACCGCGGTGTACGAGCCAATGTCATTCACAGTTAGCTTCAATAAGAGGAAAGATCTGACAAGTATAGTTGACGAACCAGATAGAAGACCAAGTATGCCGAAATCAAAAGCACCCTTCATCCCAACCACTAACCAATTTCAAGAAGCGATTGTTGACATCAATGCAATCTATATGATGTATGGTATCCCAAAATCATTACTCGATCTCTTTCATGAAATAATACACCTCACAAATCATAAAAATATGTTTAGACGTTGGAAAGTCTTCCCCCGAAATTTTCCAAAAATTTGTGCCGAAATTGAAGATCGATTAATTAATTGGAAAATCGCCGATCTGAATTGGGAACTAGATTCAGATAATAATGCATTTCATAAATGTCTCGAACTAAACATCTTATCTTTCCATTGTGCTTTGATCGTATATTATAATCGATTAATCAAAGATCGAACAAAAGTAACCGAATATCAACAATATATAACTCAATCTGTCCAATATCTTGAACAACTAATCCAATTATCCAGCACGGCGACTGATTTTAAAGTCAGACCATTATTTTGGACCTTGCTAGTATGTGGAGCGGATAGTTTGGACACGACTACACAAAAAACGATTCAGAATATGTGGAAGAAGACGGATAATTATGCTTTACAGTCGAATTATTGGCGGGCGAAACAGATTTTGTATGAGGTTTGGAAGAGAAGGAAGATTGGTGAAGATTTGGGATTTATGGATATGGTTAGAGAATGGGATATTGTATTGTATTTAGGATGAGTATTTATGATGTTTAGAGTACGTATTTATTTATTTATTTTATAGAAACAGGTAATGACTTCAAAGAGATGAGATATTTGGTAGCCGGTACGGCATCTCTTGTAGTAATGAAATGCATGCAAAGATTACCTCTGCTTCTCGAAAAGCAAGTGAGAATTACATGCATTTCTCCCTCTATAAGAATCATAAATTACATTTGCTTCCCATAGTTGGACCTTCCATAAATTACAGACTAATTCGTCATACAAAAAAATATCTTCGAATTGTCATAGCCCCCGTAGTGATTCGTCAAGATGGATAAATGAATTCTTTAATAATTATTCATGCGGTAATTCTTCCGGATGCAAATGCTGCCATGTTGCATTTTCTCTGTGAATTTGATTGTGTTGAATAATAAATCCGGACAGAACTGCAACCATCGGAAAAATCAGATTTCTTTTTTATTCATGTTACATTTTGCAATTTACACGCCCCAACTCAGACTAAAATTTTGCTGATAAGCATTTATCCGAAGGTCGGTAACTGCTTCCAGACAGGAAATATTTACCACGTTCAAACCCTGTGTGTAATTCAATTGAGGCGAAGGTGTGGTTCGCCTTGAAGCTTTCTGGTGCAATCTGAATGGAACGACTTTCCCTTATTCCTACTTGCAAAATAAAAAAAAATATTTCAATGTTTGATGCCACATGCTATTAACTGCTATTAACCAAATTACGTCTTACGCTGGTCAAGAAACGACTACTCGCGCTGGTCAAGAAACGACTACTCGCGAACGAAAACCTACCAATACGACTGGATGTTTGAGTTAGAAGGTTATTCTCCGGAAGATTTGTTCCGATTATTTATCCATCGGAGCTACGGGCCCGCATTGTCTTCATGCAAGAAATAACAAGAAAAGGAGCTGGGCACTGATAGGAAACTCATAGAGAGTGAGTTCATCTTTTCTTATGAACTGTTTTCTGATAATTTTTTTCTGAGTTTGTTGTTTCATTTTGGTTTCGTCGGATTGATTTGATATTTTCCTACGCATTTTTAGGGCGAGGTTATCTTCTAGATATTTTATAAGAAGTGTCAAAATGATTCCCTTCGTGATGACGTGGGGTAAAACCGTTGCAGTTGCAACATTCATGTAGCAACAACTTTAATTATTGTTTAACAATTTTGTGTCAACTTTCTAAGCGGAATTGAAAATTTTGATTGTTTCACGTTTTTTTGATTCTCCGCTGAACAACAGAAAGAATCTTTTCCAATTATGCCCGGGATTACTTTCAATTCAACAAAGAAAACAATTCAAAAAGCCAATATGCATTTAATTGTACATACTTACAATTGCTTTATTATGATTGGAGAGAGGCTCTGGTATACAATTATTCCGAGTATTGTGAATTAGACAATTTCATTTGAAGAATAATGTGACTTAGAAATTCACTCCCGAAACCCACACCAAAATGGAAACCAAATTGATTGAATAATCTCCACAAAGAACCAAGGCGAGTGTGTCCGATAGGGAAATCATCCCGTGTGTTCTTTTGTTTCTGCCTCACTCTAGACATCGCTACAAGCGAACCTAAATTTCGACGTTATTTTCTTAGTTTGGTGTAGATAGTTCCATTCAAAACCAAGCTGGATAGTCTTTTCGAGGCTTAATAAAAAGTGCGGGACAAGAGGGGGGAAGGTCAACTGAGAGAAAAAAAAAATATTCAGTATAAAATAACAATAAAACTTTATCTTTGTTCCGAGATAAAAATACTTCTTAAAAAAGTCAAGTAAGAACGGGAGGCGTGGACTATGATTAAATTACAACGGGGTGGTTGATATGATAAATCGGGGTAGGCCCTTTATGTTAACAGTCATATTTGAGAAGGTTTGATTTTCATGCATTTGAATTGGTTTTATTTTACCAATAGATTTTCCGACTTTTAAACCTTTTGATTCGTCTTAAATTTTTTTTTTCTTGACGGAATGAGGAAAATTAAAGCAAAGCAAAAATTAAACAAACTAAAAAAAAAATAAAAAATAATCACTGTCTTTGCGTTTTTCACCACAACAATGAACCTGTACGAATATTATTTGAACTGCAACGGAAGGTGATTGACGGAAATGATGGACAACACAAACATACTTCTTACTCAAAAAAAATCATCAGCCCCTAGAATATAATGATGCTATTCGGAATCTAATATGCATCTTTCCTCCGCCGATTTGGTATGTAGTTAGCAAGGTATGCGTTTTAAAAGAAACGTCAAGAAAATAATAAAAATTGTCTGAGTTTTTCCATTAAGTATAGGGAAAATTGAAAACTAATTTAAGTTACTCCTCATTCGGAACTTTAAAAAATAAATTATTATTATTTAAAAACTTAAAATATTTTTCCATCCTTTTGTTTTTTTATTATTATTTTTTTTTTCTTGTTACAAAGTTAAAGTTAAACCCTCCACACAACCAGACAAAATTTTTCCACGCTGTAAAACTTTAATCAAAATCGTCAGCTTTTTTTTTGGGGAATCTCTCGTTATTGGTTAAACAAAGTTATAATCTTTTCTTTCAGGTTATCAACTACCGACTACGTCCATAAATACCCAATTGCATCCCTTGGATATCTACAATTAAACCAGAAAAAACACCCACGGAAATATTTACAAAGAAAAAGAAGAAAAAGTTTACAGCCCTTTTTTCTCAGTGTGACTTTAACAAATTTTTCCGGTTTCACAGACTAATTGAAAATCAACAATAAATCGGAAGATTTCCCTTTCTTTTTTTAGGGGTATTTTTATCAAAAAGAAGAGTCAAGGAAGGTTTACTACATCAATCAACTTGCTTATCCGTTCAGATTATAATCAGCATACTTTTACTTAGGTCTGATTTACGATATTAAGAAGTAGAAAAGCATCCCCACAAATCCTTTTTAATTTAATATTACAAAAAAAATTATTTTCTGTATTTTTTCCAGGAAGATAAATTTTAATTTTTTTTTCCTTTAAAAAGAGAATCACAGTCAGACAGACAAAAAGAAAACGGAACGACAGACTTTTTTTTTGTTCCTTTTTTAAATTCTTCCTTTTCATCAAAAGTTGGTTGTAAAAAAAAAAGCACAACAATGATGTCAACAACCACCAACGAGACTAAACCAGGTGGATTGATGGGATCCTTAAGAAATATACTTCATAATCCATCATCCATTAATTCCAACAACAACAAGAATATCAACCACAGTGGAGGGACATTTACGAATACCGCAGCACCCACCACAACCACCACAACAACAACAACTAATAGCAGTTCAGCAGCAGTGACTCCTGATATCAAACATAGCTTGACAACAGAAAATATGAAGGCTGAGGAGTCAAGCGGTGATAATAATCCACCCAGAAAGAGAACCAAAGTCTCACGAGCTTGTGATGCCTGTAGGCGAAAGAAGGTTAGATGTGATGGTGAATATTCGTCCACTTTACAAAGAGTGTCCAAAATTTGCAACAATTGTACCAAGAATAATGAAGAATGTACATTTTCACGTGTACCATTAAAGAGGGGTCCGTCAAAAGGTTACATACGAGACTTGGAAGATAAGGCTGAACACAATGACGGTGTTCCAACCCAACAGCATCCACAACAACATCATAATGGCGGACCACTCATCGGCGGAAGCACAGTAAGACCAATTTCAGGTAGTTTAGGTGGAAGTGGCCCAGTTCCTGTTTCTACTTTCTCACATCAACCCTTGGTTTTCGCACAATCACATTTGAATCAGCAACAACAGCAACTACCCATTACGCTGGTAACAAGTTCCTCTCCACCAATTAAACTTCCTCCATTACTTGGTTTCCAATCAAAAGTTTTTCCATCAACAACACAAAGGCTTACGTCTTCCAGCAGTGTACCTACGGTTTCATCTTCAAATCCATCCAGTCCCACCAGTCATGGCTTAACTGCTCAGGCAGACCAATCATCTGTAAGCACCATTATCCCCACCCCTGGTCCAGCAACAAACGCTATTGAAACCACCCAATCAGCAACCAATGCAAAGCCAAATAGTCCGCCAATTCAAGGTCCTTTCTGGAAAGTACCTTACGAAATGCCACAATCTGCATCATCTCGGAAATCCTCCATTTCAAGCGCAACGGGCCATGGCGGATCAAGGCTTCGTAGGAAGTCGTCGATAGATTCCATTTCTTCCACATCCACCACAGGTTCAAGATTACCTTCGTTGAAACCTTCAGTTTCTATGAGCAGTGACTTTATGTCCGACAGTGAATCGGAAGACTACTATTCAATTCGTTCAGGTGCTTCACATAGCCAATTCCCACCTGTTGGAGCGTCAAGAAAAGATTCCATGTCCCCAAGAAATTCAATTGCATCCATGTCTAGTCTTAATGGACGAATGAACAAAACATTAAATTTCCAAAGTTCAGCATCTACAACCCCAGTTATGGTCGGTTCTCCGTTAAGCGCTGCAGGACAAACGCAATACTTTGTACAACAACAACAAAATATGTATGCTGGTCAACATCCATTACCAGTTCCACCAATGCAACCAAGCTTTCAAATAGGTGGCCATATGCCAATCCAAAGTCCAGCGCCGAGATTCTCATACCCACAACAAGGTTTTGTGTATCCTCCAACAAGTATTCCAGTTAATCTTTTGGAGACCAATTTAAAACTTTATTACGATCATTTTCATTCTTCATTCCCAATCTTGCCATTTAATTCTACTATGTTGGCTTCATTATCTCAAGCTCGTGATGAAAGTGCTGCTCATGTGTGGGTTATCGAAATGTTTAATCGTGCGTTGAATAATTTGAATAATTTCAAACAAGTGAACCTTAATGAAAATATTGAATTATTGCTGAGATTGATGAGTTCGTATCCATTCCTGAATTTAGGTATAAATATGAATGATACCTCGTTGATTTTCTTTTTCAGCACTATTTTGATTATTAATTATGCTATATTATTGAATGGTGATGTTTATTCTTCAGGAATTTCTTGGAGTAGTTCCATATTTAATGATTATAAAGTTGTTCAGAAATTTGTTGAATTTGTTGGTAGACAAAAGGGTAATAACATGAGTAACTCGGTGGATCTTGATCGTATTGAATTGTATTTGTCCAAATTATATCTTTCACTCGATGTTATTGATAATATCAATAGTATTTCTACTGGTTCTCAGAAAAATGTGGGGAATAATACGATGATTCAATTCTTGTATTCAAATTCCAACTTATTAATGAATGAAAATGACGAATCAATAAAATCTGGGCTTACAGTATTCAAGAATTCGCAATTGTTTAGTCAATTAATCAATATTAGAGATCAGTTCATACTCAGCTTTGGTAACTATACCCAACCAATTCAAATTGCTATTACTCAATCAAATGATGAATTTTCGAGCTACTTTGTTACTTTGATAAATGAAAAATACGACTTGATAAACTATTTATTCGAAATGAATGCATTTCTTAAAGATTCAATTGATCATGACCCTGAAGAAGTTTATGAAAATTTGATGGATTATAATTTGAAATTAATTAGATTAGTCAAGAAAATATCTAATTCAATTATGCATTTTGCCAACTACATCGGAACGTCGACTGCTTCATCTTCAGCATCAACTTCCCCCACATCAGAGCAATCAAAGAAATCAGAGAACAAAGTTTTGATGAATCCATTGTTGAATATTTCCATAGGTCAATTATTCAAGTTGATTAAATTGAATAAATTGCTTATTGATAGCTTGTCATATTTGAATCAATCAACCGAACATCTTCATGCTGGTAATCGTTCAAGTGCAACTGATTTATCAGGTCGCTTAAGTAAGATTAATAATGATTTATCAATTTCATTCAATTTGCTTAATTTAAATTTGGTTAATTTACAATTGGGTACTAAATCAAATGCAATAATTAGAAAGAAAATTAATGATTATAATTTTAATTTCAATTTACAAAATATGGTATCTAATAATGAAACTAAGCTGGATATTAAGCTTAGTTTAAATAATTGGTTTCAAGAATTTACGACTTCAATTCTTCCATTTATCCATCTGGAAAATACTGAAGGTTGGTATTAGAAAAAAGGATATGGGTTTTTATTATTAATGTATAAGTATATAGCATCTTTTATAATAAATTATTTAATTTACAAATTATTACTTTGTAGTAATATACAGAATTTAGTTGTACACTATAAACTGCTATATAATTATAAAACTCTAGAGATGTACATGTATAACAGAAAAGAGAGGGTAGAACCTTAGAGCAGGAGCTAAGCTTTATAACTGCTTGTGTTTCTCACTCTAATCGATCTTAATTTGTGAATAGATTAATCTGACAAAGACTAATGCACTTACGAAACCAACAGATCCGCAGCAAAGGAATACCAATGATGAAATGACAACTGAGTACCCAGTATATAACACCAAAGAAGTGAATCCAGCTAATTTTTCACCATTCATTAAGAATAATGAATGGACGAATACATAAACGGCACAACCACCACCAACGAAAAATGCTTTCCAATGCCATTTGTAATTTTCCGAACATAAAGTGTAATAACTCATCAAAACTGTAATCAAACTGGTAGTTACGATCATTAATAAGAAACAGAAGAATAAGAATCCAAACATGTAGAAAATCTTATTAAACCAAATTGAAGAATAAATGAAATACATTTCAACAGCTATGGATCCGAATGGGAAAACACCAGAAATAAGCATGACTGGGATGGTTCTCAAATACCACGGTTGAGGAGGAATTTGTCTCGGAATTTGATTAGTTCTAACTGGAACATCGAGCAACTTTCTCTTGGAGGCAAGGATGGATCCAACAACAGATAATGGAATGGAAATTAAAAACCAAATGAAAATAATAGCAACCATAGTTCCCACTGGGATAGCCCCAGATGAATTCACGGAAATCAAAAAGAAGTTCAATAAAACGAAAATACCAAACAACGCCCCTGGAACAAGAGTAGGGGTTAGGATCATATTCAACTTCCAGTTATCACCACCAAGGAATCTGTAAAGGTAACTTGAAACAAAGGATGAAATGAAACTTGACAAGATGTAAAGGATAAACATAAAAGTCGATAACGACCCTCTATTTGATGGAGATAATAATCCAAATAAGGCAAAGGCCATAGTAGCGAATGCCATGAAGAAGATCTGGATACCACTTCCGACTAATACAGATAACAATAATCTCTGTTTTGGAGCTCTAAAGACATCACCATGAACTAATTTCCAACCGCTTTCATCAGCAATATCGTCATCTAAGTTGACTTCGTTATATTTGACAATATCATTCTTTAAAGTTTTAACAAGGATATGGGCAATAATGATACCAAGAATCAAAACAATTAATGAGAAATTGATCAAGGAGAACCATTGAATTTTTGGGTCATAAACATGTAAATACTTATCCCATCTTGTGGCCCAGGCAACATCGCTTGGCTTAAATTGAACTGAGTAAGTGAAAATGACATTTGTTTCCTTGTCTTTACTTAATTGAATTGGCTTTAAGTTTCCATCACAAAGTTGGTCTTTGGTTGCATCATCTCCAAGGGCAGATCTATCCAACGAAGTTGGGTTGGCGGTGACACCAACAACTCTGAAATTACCCTTGCTTCTCTCGTGGTATTCAATAGTAATATCAAAGTGATTATGTAAATGGGCACCGTTTTGTGCATCAACTTGACCGATTGGGAATCCAGGACCAAGGAAAATGGTCTTCGTTCTTTCATCTAGAACTTGTTTAGCAACTGGTAAACCATCAACGATCCAATTGTGGTTATAACTAGCTCTAATATTTCTATTAACAAAAACGGAGTCTTGTTTAGTATATTTAGAAGAACATACTCTTTCACATTCTTTGTTTTCCATCATCTTAATATCAAAAGGTGAATTGAAAATTCTATCACCAAATATAATAGATCCTAAAGATTCCAGTTGCTTCTTAGGACCTCCCTCTGGAGTACAGAAATGGAACTTTGGATAATAGTAGTCGTATGAGTAAACATATGTGGCAGATTGCACTTTTCCTTGGTCTGAAGTATGGTGCAATGACGGTGTCAAATGATTAACATATAAGGGGATTGGATCACCTTGTTTATAATCGGTAGGTGCCACACCTGGTAAATAAAACGCATGCGTTATGCTGAAGAAACATATCAACGCAGACACAAAGGCGTAAAGCATCATATTATTATGCTAATTGAAGAAATGAGTAAGGTCGAAGTGAATAAAAATGGTGGGCCAGTAAGATTAGAATTAAAGATTTTCTTTTTCCTGCGGTGATGAAACGTCACTCGCAAAAACATTCCCTCATTTACCACAGATTTTTTTTCTCTTTGATGTTTGACGTAGGCGTTTTTTTTTTATGAATTGTGCTGGTAACAATAGGTTTTGTGTTCCATAATTTTTAAAAGATAAAAGTACTAGAATACCGGCACAATTCACTTTCCAAAAAGCCTTGGCGTTTGTTGATGGTGACTATTGTCTACAGATTCAACCTATCTTTCTTCTCTCTTCTTTCTTCTTACTGTGGTCTTCTTATACTGAGTTGTAATCATTCTTATCTCCTTAAGCTTCCTTTCTTGCAAAGTGGGTTCATACATATAGGGAGGACGCGTCACGGAATAATCACAAAACAATTGCAATCTTTTGCATTGGCTGCACTCAGGCTTCTCTTCGGGACAGGCTTTGTGTCGAACCCTGCATGTCCAGCATCCAGTTTTGGATCTTGCTCCAAGTTTCCTTTTCTTTTCGTGATTGTAATTTACATCATATGAATTTGCTCTCTTCTTGTAAATAAGCTGTTCGATTTTTGGGGCACATTCTGTATCTGAATTTGGATAAACGATCCGCTTCATGCCGAAGGCACTAGAAGAAGACTTGGTGGAACCCGTGCTACTATCAGTTGTCGTGTGACTTTTCAGCTCAGAACTCAATAATTTATCCCTTCTTTTTAATTTTAGTACCACGTTGTAAGTCTTGAGTTCAGGAGCCTTCTTCTTCACTTCCTTATCAATTTTAAACAAAATTTCTTCTTTATTTTTAGCATTTCCAGCTGTGGGTTTTGCATGAATATGCTCTGAAGGATCCAAGTCATTTAGAATATTCGGGTATGATCTTCTTGTCCGCTGGTTTAGTAGGTGTAATGACAAGTAACTGTTTCTTGAACTTTCAGTGGTAGAAGCTAAGGAATTCATCTTGCTTTGACCATCATACACAGAAGAATTAGTACTTGCATTTGGACTTTCTCCATACAAATTCCTATAAATATTTTGGACGTGCAATATATCATGTTCATTCGAACATTCAGAAGTCAATAATGCTCGATCAATCTCAATTTCAGTGGAATTGACTCTAGGAATCATTGGAGAGCTTCTAATCAAAGATATTCCCAGATCATTCAATGGATATTTACTTTGAATTGGAGTGTCAGTTGCACTTCGTTTTGGAAAAATTAATGGAAATACGATTCCATCATGAAACAGCCTAGTAATGTCGTGACCTTCATTTATAGCAGGTGCTATTTTGGTACCACCGGGGCAAGCTCTTGATAATTCTTGTTCATTGACTATTTTGATTGGATTCTTTTTGGGTGGAGTTGCCATTGAAGAATCATTCTGAAGTCTTGAATCTGAAAGGCGTCCGAACGTATTGGACATTGATGAATTGAATATGGCACTGTTCTCCCGGACTAAGATGTTCTTCATTGGACTAGAAGTAGGGGCAAATAAATTTCCTTCTCTTGTAGTTTGATTAGTACCTCTTTTGGCCATTCTGTATGACTCTCCTTGTTGTTTAGATTTTGAAAAGGTTGTTTTTTGCAGCATTTTTTTTTACCTCATTTAATTAACTATGAGAATTGAACTGAGAGAATAAATATTTAAGACGAACGCCAGCTGCAATTGGCTTATGACAATACTCTTGGCACTTATTGTAGTATTCGAGGTTATACTGCTTCAGGTACTGATAGAGACAATATCTAAAAAAGTTAATATGTATTCTTATAAACCTATGTATTGTTAGGAGAAGTATGAGCACTAATAAAAGTAAGCATCCATTTAAGATCAGTTAAGAGAAACTTACAACTCTGAGTCCATTCAGTATTGGAAGTTACTCTAATACTTTTCCCACCAATTGAATCTTTGGTAGGAGAAATCTTGTAAGGTAAGTCAATATCAGCATCTAATGAACGTAAACGAGTTTCAATTTGTGATACTACATCAAGCAATGAAATCATCGATACATCAAGTTTGTTAAAATTAAACAACTTACCCAATGAAAACTCATCGGATGAGTACATGTTTAATACTGTCTTTGATTTGGTTGTTTGTCCACTTGATGTACTTCCTTCGTCAGACAGCACTGTGCTGAATTTGATGATTTGTGATTGTGATCCCATGGGTACTAATTTATAAGTTGAAGATTTCAAATTCAATCGTTTTACTAAAAATACTAGTAGCAGGATTATTTGACCCAAAGCAGCATTTATTTCAGGCCAAACCACTTTATAACCAATCCTAAACCCATTGATAGTTCCATACTTATCATCACTGTCACATGAAATATTAAAAATTTTGTTGTATATATTTAGATTTCTTAATTTATCAATATGATCAAGATGTACGTGATATGCTGCTTTAGATTGTTCAAGTTTATTTCGCTTGTCATTCAATTCCAATTGAAGTTTATTTTTGAGTCGTAGTATCTTATCTAAGCCGTCATTTTGGAGATCCTCTAATTCTTTCTCATATTTCTTCAATTGTGAATCCAATTCATTTCGGGAATTCTCTAGATCTTTCAATTTTTGCAAACTAGTCTTTTCCAAAAGAGTTAATTCCTTGAATTCTTCAATTGATTGGGTTAATTTCATGTCTAAATCTTCATTCAGCAAGTTGGGGTTAAACTCTTCATTGTGTTCATTATCATACAAGTTCAATTGATTGTCTTTATCCTTTAATTTTCTCAAGAAAGATAAGTAATTGTCTTTTTCCTTTTGACTTTGGTCAAACTTCAATTTATAGTTTTCAATTAATAAACTAGCACAGTCTTCTGATAAAGGATGATCAATATCTTGATTATTAGATAAAATTTCAAATATTTTAGTTAAAGTCTTTATCCTGCTTGACATTCGAATTTCTCTATCTTCTTCATTTTCTTGCCGTTGTTCGTGATTTCCGTTAATAGTCCCATTTTCTTCATCACTATCTCCAGTTTCCTCATCCAACACCAAGTACGAATTCGATCCTGACGATCCGTCTTCATCTTCAAAATCATCATTTTCATCTTCATCGTCGTCCTCTTCATCACTCTCGAGATAATTCCGATACTGTATAGGTTCAATATTACCTTTATTCACCTGATTATATAGATCTAGTCTTTCCTTGGGTATATATTCTTGTGGATCCAAATCATCTAGTATTTTGATATTTGCCTTTTCAAATTGTTTATCTTGTCGTTCGTTAACAAGATGTGATAATTGGGAAATGTTCAAGTTCTTAAGACTTTCATCTAATTCAAGTGGGGTGTCACATTTCTGACAATTGAATTCATCTTCAGACATCTCTGATGGGGATGGTATTGTAACCAAGTAGATAATTGAGTAGAGTAAGATAGTGAGAAAAGAGTGCGCTTTATCTATTTTTCTGGGTTTATTTTTTTGTTTGCTCACATGTTGATTCTTGACTCACAGTCAAACTTGGAACATTTCTTTAAAACAGCCTGAGAGTAAGAACCAATACACTAAAGAAGCTAGGCAAGTAGCTATTGGAAAGCTTGTTCTGGATATCCCCCTATGGTTCAATCTTCCCCCGTCAAGAGGGTCAGTTCAACGTATGTATGTGAAAACCTTCAGCTGAACATTTGTCTGGCAAAGATTGAATACAATTTATGAATTTGTTTCCGACACTCTTTCTCTAAAAACGGCTTTGTACTTTCTTACTAGCTTGACCAGAAGCTGCCATTTATCAAAGCTTTCCCTCTTGACGTATAATGTTTCAGTTATTATTATCACGTCAAGTTTTTTTTTGCAGCCATTTCAACTTCTAGTAGTAGTCAATAGAGCTGACTTCAATTTAGGTTCCAACTAAATTTGAATTGAATTGGCAGCGACTGTTTGCACAATTCCACAAGATCAAACTCTCACGCTTTGAATTCTATTGTAAGATTTTTCAAGAGAGGTTGCAAAAAATGAGAATGACTATTCTTGCAAACAATTTCTTAAAATTTTCAGAGGCTATAAAACCTATACCAAAACAAAAATCTGAGATCTGAGAATCCTAATGACATTGAAATTCATTGAATATTAATATGTCCAGCCTTGTAACAGGTACGAGGTGGCTGGCAATTGACTTTAGGAATGGATTTTGCAAGTAGTGACGTGGTCGCGAAAGTGTGGCATGAGTGCAACATGATTGTCAATGCAGTTTCTTGGCATCTTCGGTTTTTAGAATTCCGATAACCTCCCTTCAGAATCTGCTGACAACAATATTTAAGGAGTTGGATTTTCCCAATTCTGGAAGAAGATTTTTTGAGTTTTAGTTAGTCATTATTCTACAATACACATTTCCACTCTTCCAGAGTTTAATCTAATTAGTTCTGGATAATTCCCATTGAAATTCACTTGTTAGTGTAGATACAAAGATCCTTTATTAGTATTTGTTACAAGCCTATTCCTAAATCATGAAGATTTTGAAGCTCTTACAACCCTAATTTTGGTAGTCTTTTTTTTTTACATATACAATCTGTTTATTGAGTTCTTATACATACTAATATACAGAAATATAACAAACAGAAAAACAATATACTTTAAAGGCAAAAAGCATCATTGCCTAAAACCTCATTTCAGAACCATCTTAGAGACTAAGTGTATAAGTATAATTATTAAGACTCTTGGAGGTGTACGATACCCATTTGCGAATGAATTGGACCGTGAGCTCAACGTTCCGGCCCCCTCCACGTCGAAATTTTTGAAACTTATAAAGGAGGGCGAGGTATCGATTTAGCTGCATTAATTGAAAAGGTTGAAGGGAGGAATTGCAAATAAAAAGTCGGAGCTTCCTTGGTAGCGAGCGTGGACGGCAGAGTTGCCAAAGAATCATAGTCAATTTTGACACGAGATAGAAATATAACGGATAGTAGATTTTCTATTTGTACCCCCACCAGGTTATTAACTTGATGAATCTAGATGTTTGATTAACTATAAAGGAATTCTCTCAAGTATTTTAAAAGGCTATAGTATTTTCAAAAAGAATGATTTGGCTGCAAAATTCTTAGATAATTTTCATAAGAAATTTTACCAATAGTTACAATAATTTGTAAAACCATCGCAAGAAAAGATTTAACTTTTCCAAAGCATACATTACATTCCTTACACATCTTTCTTTAGTTCTATATTACATATACTTCATTAAATAAATCAATCATGGAATAATATACGAAAATGGAATTCCAAAAATCACGTGACCAAAAAATAAGTGTAAAAAATTCAAAAAATACAAGACAACCAATAAGCCGGTCTAGTATAGTGGTAAGTACGATTCGTTGTGGCCGAATAAACCCAGGTTCGATTCCTGGGACCGGCAAATCTATTTTTTTTTGCAATTTGAGTTGTCATTTAGTTTATTTGAATTGTTTAACATCGATAAAGATGTCGAATAGACATATTCGGCATACACGAAGTGAATTGGCCAGTTAATTGGGGAAATTAAATAAAGCAAAATTTTTGTATATTAGAAATCAAAGTCTCCGATTTGGTTTCTTAATGCCAGGTCGAGGTTGGACTGATACGAGAGAATGAAGTCAATCATGAAGAGTCCGATACCTTCATATTTTGAATATAGATTAAACTAAATAAGGTTTTATTTGTTCTTGTAAATAGTCCCAAACTTTTTCACAATTTGCAGCATCTTTAATATCATCTCTAATCACACCCCAATTCCCAAATGAAATTATATGTTCCCCGTTTCTTTGCTTTGTTACTTCTGGCGACAACGCGGCAAATAACTCCGTATATGCCCCATATCTTGCCTTATGAAACGTAAGATCATACCCTATCCTCAGGAAAAATGGCATATTTCGTTGGAGTTCAGTTCTCAAATATCCAGGACAAACAGAAACACTCACAACATTGGAAGCTTCTGGATGTCGTTTTGGCCATTGGATGGCTTGCATCATAACAAGGGCTTTACTTTGACTATACATTTCCTTTAACGGAACATTGGGGGAGTTTTCATAATTGGGATCTTTCCAATTCAAACCACCATATGGAGCGAAGAAATGGGAGGTGGAACCGATCCAGACTATACGTGATTCATTTGGTTTGTTGAGTTTGGAAGTGGAGATGAGGATCGGGTCTAATAGGGTTTGTAGGAGATGGGGTCCGATTACGTTTGTGCCTAATTCGAGTTGATATCCTTGTTTTGTTTTAGAATGACGAGGTGGGGTCATAACACCAGCATTATGGATGATTAGATCTAGTCTTTCTTCTTGTTGGAGGAACTTGTCAACTGCTGGTCTTATGGTTGTTAAATCTGCAAAATCGACTTTAATGAAGTTGATAGAATTGATCGATTTCAGGTATTCTTGAGCTATTTCTAGTTTCATTTGTTCAATTGCGTGTTTCGTCTTTTCTTCATTTCTGGAGAAGATGTATATCTTTGCATTGGTGGATCCAGCTAAGGATTTTACTACTTGATATCCTACTCCAGCATTACCTCCAGTTACGATGACTACTTTGTTATCTAACGAAGGATAATCCTTTTCAAGAAAAGTTGGATTACCTGGAAAGAATCCATGAAAGATTTGTCTCAATTCTGTCCAAGTTAGATTAAATATAGAAGGTGGCAGCATTGGTTGAATAAAGAGCCGAGTAATATTATTCTTCGAGCCCTTGGCTATTTAGCAATTGATATAGAAAGTTTGATGACTTACCCGGATTTCTGTGATTAATTTTTTTTTGCTTCCCTCCACTCTTCCCATACAAGAAAGCAACTGAAAAATTTTCTTTACCAATTGTTCAATCCTTTTCTCTTTCTCTTATATTAACAAGTTATGAAAATACACTTGATATAATCAGTATGTTTAATACAATCACGTGAAGGATGAACTAATGTGTTGTTTTGTAATTTAATGATGATAATATGACAATAGTGTCTTTAAGGTCTTCGGATCAGTGTGAGCACATGATTTCTCAATAGACTACAACGGTATCTGATATTTTAATATGTAACAACACTTTAGTTTATCCATCGATAAATAGAACCAATGTTTTGCTAACAATGTAAATTAGATGACTTAATGGGAAAACGTAATAATAAACAATTGAATAAGATTTATTCTAAACCATTACCAATTACTTTAACTAGTGATTATTATAATGGAGTTAAATTACCAAATTTGTATCCTCATAATCCAATTTCTTGGATATGGTACATTTTTAAATATATTCAAATAAACTCCCTTTATACAATCCCTGAACTGAAGATATTACCAGTCAACGTACATTACGATGAAGGAATATTCAAAGTCATTGACGAAGAAGGTATGAAGAAACTTTGGCAACAAGGATTTTTCGGTAAAGGTATCTTATCCCGTTCCGAACCTACTTGGAAAGAACGTACGATTACCAGATTACAACTTGATGTAGATACTAGTTTAGCAGGGGATCTTGCCATGGAAGATGTAACTAAATTAAGACGTGAAGAAAGGAAATTGTTTAAGTTACAAAGAGCTAAAGTTCAAGAACTTGAATTGAAAACTCGTCAAGGGATAATTACTCAAGATGAAGTTCAAGAATTAGAACAATTGCGTAATGATGTAAGTAATATGCGAAAAAATACTCGACTTGATGTATCTAAAGAAATCGATTCTCCAGATATGAGAGAAGAAGATGAAGATATCATTGATGACAATGGTGAGGTTATTCAATTAGAATTCTTACAATTGCAAAATGTGGAGACGTTTTTCTTGAAATTTGCTTTGAATGTAATTGAAATTTCTACAATTGATTCAATACGCGATTTATTCAAGCAATGCTGTTTACATTATGACAATAATACATCAATTGCTCCTAATAATAAATTTATTTTGGATTATGTTGTATATCATCATTTCCGTTCTTTAGGTTGGTGTGTTAGATCTGGGGTTAAATTTGGTACTGATTTTTTGTTATACAAAAGAGGTCCACCATTTATTCATGCAGAATATTGTATATTAGTGATACCTAATGACGAATCAATTGAATATGATTGGTTTCAAATGGCGGCTAAGGCCAGAGTTATCGGTACTGTCAAGAAAATCTTTGTGTTGGTTTATGTTGATTGTCCTAAGCAAACGGACTTTGATAGGATTTTCAATGGTAATTATGATGATGGATTAATGTTTAAAGAATTATTTAGAAGTTATAGAGTATCTGAGATATTATATAGAAGATGGGCTCCTAGCAGGACTAGGGATTAGGCTTTTTTAATATAAAATTGTATACTAGTATTAAGATCTATAAGAATAGCATGGGGGAGACGGAGGGGGGATATGAGTTTATTAATTTTGCGAGTACACTACCCTCATCCCATAATTTAAAAATGAACAGCAAATAAAAATAAATTCAAACAAGAAAAAAAAAAAGATTTAAATTAAGAAAATAAAAATTTCGCAATTATTTAAATACCAAAAAGAATTCTCATCAATTTTTTTTGTTGAATTTTTTTTTTCTCTCTCTTAATTAACAAAGAAAACAAACAATCAAATTTAATTTATGTCACATAATACGCGACATCACTTTCATATTCACGACATATAATTTTATAAAAACAACACACAACATTATCAATCAATGTCAAACTTACTGCAATTAATCAATCCTGATGATGATTATAGTTATAGCTATACTCCTCCAATAGAAATAGCACCTAAGGATAGTACAATTAGTCCAACAGCCACAACAACAAATAATAATAATGATGATGAGGATGAAAGTGAAGAACCAACCACTAATGAAACAACACCAGCAGAACCTAATACAGTAACTCAAGAAATGATTGAAGAATCATTCGAAAAGATAAAAACTCATTTCCCAGCCGCTAGAATCAAAAAAATCATGCAAAGTGATGAAGAAATTGGAAAAGTTGCACAAGCAACTCCAATTATTGTAGGAAGAGCTTTGGAAATCTTTATGGCCAATTTAGTTGAAGTGTCAATCTTAGAAGCTAAGAAACAAGGTGTTAAAAGAATTAGTGCATCTCATGTTAGAGCTGCTATTGAAAATACTGAACAATTTGACTTTTTGGTGGAAGCGGTTGAAAAATATCCTCCATTGAAGAATTAAATTTGAAAGTCTCGCAGTGCATTGCACTAGAATTGTATATTATGTAAAAACAAATGTATATTAGTTAGTCTGGTATAATGAAAGTTAGTAATGAGTCCCCCATCCCACCATAAATAGCCAACGCCTTACTATACGAGAGAACCAAAGATGAGAGGGAAAGTCGTGCAATTGGCACAAAAATTGTAGGAGTTTGGAGCGTACTTGAAGGAGTGGGAATTGCAAGAAAGAATCGAATTATGGGGAAGTGATATCATCCAGCAGATACTATATGCATTCTAGAAATCATTGATTCTAGAATCAGTTTTTTCGCCGATTACACAAAACCATTTTTTCGACTTTCTACAATGTGCCAGAAATCTATACAAGATTTGGCAGCCAAGTTAGCATAACAATCAGATTCAAATCTCAGGTTTCAAGAGAGGAGTCAAAAGACGAATTTACAATTCGCAACAAGATACAGAAGAACCATTTGACAATTGGGAACCAATATGATAGGTTATTTTATCGAAGCGATCTAGAAGACATTCATTCCAGATCGCATTCGATACTTGATTAGTGTAACGTGATGGTTGCAAAAATAATGAAAAATCTATAAATAGAAACATTATAACAAAAAGCCTCACAATTAGATCTTAACCAATTTACCAACAGGTATTAAAAGTCTCGGGAAGATGTTACTTTTTTCCAACGCCTTTTCCATCTAATCAAGTTTGCTTTCTTAAATAAATAGGTTTAGTTATTCCGATAATTTTTTTTCATTGTTATTCCGAGAATCTTTTTTTTTAGATAGACTTAACCTTCCGCTAAAGTTTTGATGGTTTGCATATAGGCCCCCCATCACCAGCACTCCCACAAATTTCATCATTATTTAAATATCATTCATCCCGCCCCTTTCACTTCCTTCTTCATTCTCATCTTCTCTTTTTCTTTAATTAACAGCCAAACACATCAATTGCAACCATGGCAAGATCCTATTCAAATTTACGCAGACGTGGTTCATCCTCCTTCTTCAACACCCTCCCCCCTCCTCAACCAGATATTTTTTACATTGGGGTAGATGTCGGCACAGGATCGGCCCGTGCCTGTCTAATCGACACCAATGGGATCATATTAGGACTTGCAGAAAGACCAATCACTCGTCATGAATTAAAACCAAATCATATCACTCAAAATTCGACAGAAATCTGGAATGCTATTTGTTTTTGTGTTAAATCATGCCTTAGAGATAGTGGAGTTGACCCGGGGGAAGTGTTTGGGATTGGGTTTGATGCTACTTGTTCCTTAGTTGCCATTTCTGAATCAAAAGATGAACCGGTGTCAGTGGGGCCTGATTTTAATGATGATCATGAGAATATTATCTTATGGATGGATCATCGTGCACAAGAAGAAACTGATGCTATTAATTCTACTGGGGATGTATGTTTGAAATATGTGGGTGGACAAATGTCAATTGAAATGGAATTGCCAAAGATGAAATGGTTGAAACATCATAAACCCGGTGGAATTAAAGATGTGAAGTTTTATGATTTACCTGATTATTTGGTACATAAAGCCACTGGAACTGAAACTAGAAGTTATTGTTCAGTTGTTTGTAAACAAGGGTTTGTTCCTTTAGGTGTTGAGAATTCAACTACTGGATGGTCAAAAGATTTCTTAGTATCGGTGGATATGGAAGAATTAATTGAAGATGATTTTAGAAGATTAGGTGGGATTCCAAACAAGAATGGGAAATATTTAAGTGCAGGTGATATTGTTGGAAAATTAACCAATCAGGCTGCTGAACAATTAGGATTAACTACTGAATGTATTGTTGCTTCCCCCGTTATCGATGCATATGCTGGTTGGATCGGTACTGTTGCAGCCAAGGCCGAAATCCCCGCATTACAAGAAACCCATATTGAAGGATCAATTTTAACTTCTTGTGGAAGATTGGCAGCCGTGGCAGGGACATCTACTTGTCATATTGCCATGACTAAAGATCCATGTTTTGTGCAAGGTGTTTGGGGTCCATACAAGGATGTTATGGCCGAGGGGTATTGGTTAGCAGAGGGTGGACAATCATGTACTGGTCAATTATTAGCTCATGTCTTAGCTATTCATCCTGCTTCTCAAGAATTATCCCGTGTTGCTGAAGCTTCTAATTTATCTAAATTCGATTATCTTAATCTTACTTTAGAAAACATGGTTGTTGACAATCATGAACGTTCAGTTGTATCACTTGCAAAACACATGTTTTTCTATGGAGATTTCCATGGAAATCGTTCCCCAATCGCTGATCCAAGAATGAAAGCTAGTATAATTGGTCAATCTATGGATAATTCAATTAATGACCTAGCTATTCAATATTTCGCCGCTTGTGAATTCATTGCTCAACAAACTAGACAAATTGTAGAAGAAATGGAAAAATCAGGTCATAATATTACATGTATCTATATGAGTGGAGGACAATGTCGTAATGGATTATTAATGAGATTGCTAGCTGATTGTACCGGATTACCAATTGTTATCCCTAGATATATCGATGCTGCTGTTGTATTTGGTTCGGCTTTGTTGGGGGCTGTAGCTGCTGAAGAATCTGTGCAGGATTACATTTCTCATAGAGGGAAATCAAAACGTGAATCCAATTTAGCACTTGATTTATTGAATAAACATGATAGTGGTCGTGAAAATGAACCGCTTCATTCTCCATATACTCAACCTTCAGCTACTTCAACTACAAATTTGGCAACATTAGGATATAGTGCACACTTACCTCATTCTCAAACATCACTTCCAACATTACTTCAAGGTGAACCTACTGATTATTTCTCTCAATCTCCATTACGAAAAGTCATTTCTAAGAATGATGCTGCGGAAGATTCTGAAGACGATGATCAGACATTATCATTTGGATCCAAACAGAATGTTCAACAGGATATTTCTCAACAATTTAAGAAATTGAATATTAAACCATTAACTGAATTGAACAAGAAGAAACTTGGTCAACCAATCAGTAATCCAGGAGATGTATTATGGAAGATTATGGAAAGAATGACTGGACCAGGGAAGGTTATTTTTCCTAATAATGATAATGACCCTGATAGAAAGTTATTGACGACTAAATATAAGATCTTTTTGGAACAATGTTATCAACAACAGAAGTATAGACAATGGGTTGATGAAATTGAAGAAGAAAATATGCAAGTCAAAGCTGAAGCATAATGGCAATAAGGACCCATTATATAAATTTATAGTTTATATTAATACAATAGTTTATATTTAATACAATAGTTTGATGTATTGAAATGCATGTCAGTGTATGTAGATAACTCTTGAAACTTTCAAAACATAAAATGAGGGATATCTAAATTGTCAAACGAAAAGGGAACCAGGGGGAATGGGATGAGGTGCATGAGATCAAGCGATGAGATGAAAGGGGGGACGATTGAGAGGATCAAGGCGGGAACGCAAGTTGACTACCGCGGAGGGGAGGTTGGGGGTGGGGACAATAAAAAAGAAATATTTATCTAGCCGTGCTCATTATCACCATGATTATTTCAACTTAACCGATTTAACGTTAATCCAATAAAAATCCAGGAACAGATAAGAAAAGGGTAAAAGGGTGCAATAAAAAATAATCCGCCACAAGTCGTAATTCTTAAATTAAAATTTGCAATTTTAAAACAAAGAAGACAGGGGGGAAATTAGTTTCCGATATTTCGCTTGTGATTTTATTATTCATTGTAAAGCAATAAAATTATTGTATATCTGTGCATATGTCAATTAATTTTGTATCATAGTAATGAATGGATGCAAAAAAATAAATTTACGAGAAACGCTTAAAAAATATTTTTTGACAAAAGGTTGAGATATTTTTTAGATCTATAAAGATACAAGATCACGTGCAATAAAGCAATTTGTATCTTTATTTTTTGTATTTATTGTTTTTTGTCTCCATAAAAAATCAATTGCAACTTATCACGTGATGATTGCTTAGTTTTATTTTTTCCAATTGCTGCAAAAAATTAATGCATTTCGCCGTCAATTGCTGTTTATGAGATCTACTAATCACAAAATCAGTCATAGATCCTGATAAATTTAACCGGTATCGGTTAAAGGTGCTAATCATTAGTGACGAGAAGAACAAATCTACAACTTCTAGCTATCATGCAAAATGAATTTGAATCTTCCATTGGATGTAGAAACAAAAGAATGGAAGGGAAAAAAGAAATTTGAGGAACAAAAAATCTTTTCAGGGCGGGAATGTCAAAAAAAAGTTTAATCATCGATTGATGCAACTTTCAATTAGAAATGGGGGTATGAAACCGATAAGATAAGAGTATAGACAGGCAGAAGATTCCATATTCTTATAGGAATGTTTCATTTTGTCTTAAACTTAGCAAGGAGAATGAATCGTTTAGAAATAATCATCTCCCCTTCCAGGGCACGTGATATTATCTAACTGTGGAAATTTTTTTTTTAATTCGTTAAATTTCTATTGTTTTTTGATTGCCACAGTTTTCTGTTAGATTAAGAATTACAAAACCAATCAAGATGAATAATTCAATTATGACGATGAATCTCTGACTAATGGCGAAATTTTTCATCCCGCTCTTATAACCTCTCCATCTTCTTTTCCATACTCTATTACTTCATTCTTCTTAATTATCATCTCAACAAAATACTTCAATCAACATCTTTTCAACAAGCTGCAAATCTACTAAAGTCAAACCAGTAGTCATTTTAACAAAACAGCCATACAAATTAATTAGTGCAGCTAATTTAAACGATCCACAGTTTGCATTGCGACCAATATTACGAATAATTTATAAAAGGATCCACACTCCACAATTTTTCATAATTAATTTGCAATTTAATAAACAATAAAAAACAATTAAAATTTCAATTGCTTTTATTAACGATTTCAAAGCATCTCAAAACAATACAGCATTTGCAATCAACGGGTGCCGTTCTTGATAACAAACTTTTTTAAATATAAATACACTGGATCTTAACCTTCTAAGTCTAAGTATATCTCAAATTTTATTCATTCTTTACACAGTTCACTACTAAGCATTACAAATAAACATACTAATCATGTCTGATAAGTTAGATAGAGTGAAATCCATTGCGACTTACAATGGACCTGAATCACAAGTACCAGACTTATTCCATGAAGATCTTACATCCAAGAAGTCACATGAATTCCCTCCTGCTGAATATCCAAATATCAGCTATCAAAATAGTTATCATGTCCATGAATATAAAGAAGAAGAAGTTGCAGTATTAGATTGGTTGAAAAAAATCTTTGCTAATCCTTTACAAAAAATCTTTGATTATTTAGTTTCATTATTTCCAATTGCTAAATGGATTTTACATTATAATGGTAAATGGTTATATGGTGATTTAGTTGCCGGTATTACTGTTGGGGTTGTCTTAGTTCCTCAATCAATGTCATATGCTCAAGTAGCTACATTACCTGCTCAATATGGTTTATATTCTTCATTTGTTGGTGTTTTTATTTATTCATTTTTTGCAACCTCAAAAGATGTTTCTATTGGTCCAGTTGCTGTTATGTCTTTACAAGTTTCAAAAGTTATTGCTGCTGTTCAAGCTGATTTTGGTGATAAATATGGTGCACCTGAAATTGCTACTTTCTTATCTTTAATCTGTGGTGGTATTGCTGCTGCTATTGGTGTTTTAAGATTAGGGTTCATTTTGGAATTTATTTCTATTCCTGCAGTTATGGGTTTCATGTCTGGTTCTGCCCTTAACATTATTGTTGGTCAAGTTCCTGGTTTAATGGGTTACAATAGTTTGGTTAATACAAGAGTTGCGACTTATACAGTTGTCATTAATACTTTAAAAAATTTAAAACACACAACTGTTGATGCTGCATTTGGATTAGTTTGTTTATTCATCTTATATCTTTGGAAATATGGTACTGAATTTGGACAAAAGAGATATCCAAAATATAAATTGTGGTTCTTTTACACTCAACAATTAAGAAATGCAATTGTTATCATCGTTGCTACTGCTATTTCTTGGGGTGTTGTTCATCCTAAAAAAGTCGCCTTCACAGGTCCAGCAGGTACTTTCAAACCACCAATCTCTACCATTGGTGTTGTTCCAAGGGGTTTACAAAATGTCGGTGTCATGACTGTCCCAGATGGTATTTTTAAGGCCATGGCTTCTGAAATCCCAATTTCCACAATCATTTTATTATTAGAACATATTGCCATTTCAAAATCTTTTGGTAGAGTTAATGATTATAAAGTTGTCCCAGATCAAGAAGTTATTGCTATTGGTGTTACCAATTTAATTGGTACTTTCTTTAATGCTTATCCTGCAACTGGTTCCTTTTCTAGATCTGCCTTGAAAGCTAAATGTGGTGTCAGAACTCCAGTAGCTGGTCTCTTTACTGGTGCTGTTGTTTTATTAGCCTTATATTGTTTAACTTCTGCTTTCTACTATATTCCAAAGGCAACTTTAAGTGCAGTTATTATTCATGCTGTTTCTGATTTGATTGCTAATTACAAGGTTACTTGGTCATTCTGGAAGATTAGTCCACTCGATTGTGGTATCTTTGTAATTGGTTTAATCATTACAATCTTTTCATCAATTGAAAGTGGTATTTATTTCGCCATTGCTGCTTCTGCTGCCGTCTTATTATTCAGAATTGCTAAACCTCATGGTCAATTCTTGGGTAAAGTTCAAGTTGCCGAAATTGTTAATCCAATTATTATTGAAGCTTCAAACGATGATACTGAAGATGATTCAACCAGTAGTGATAACATTGAAATTCATCAAGTTTTATCTAGAAATCCAAGTTATAAATCTACCGATAAATCAAAAGTCAATGTCAAACAATCAGTTTCTCAACAAAACCTTCCAAACATCAAATATCACACCAGATGGGTTCCATTAACCAAAGAAAACATAAATTCCGGTGTCAATGTTACTCCACCGCCTCCAGGTGTTATTGTCTTCAAACCAGTCGAATCCTTCACTTATCCAAACGCATCCAAACAAGTCGACCGTGTTTCTGATGAAGCAAAGAGATTAACTAGAAGAGGAAAACCATACGACTTGCACGATGTTGGTTCTAGACCATGGAACGATCCAGGTCCATTACGTTGGAAATTACCATTCGGAAACAAAAATAAATCCACAATTGAAGATGATAAACAGGAAGATGATCAACGTCCACTTTTACGTCTTGTTCATTTCGACTTTTCTACAGTTGCAAGCATTGATGTTACTTCCATTCAAGCATTAGTTGATTTACGTAAAGCATTAAACAATTATGCTGATCGTGAAGTTGAATTCCACTTTTCTGGTATTTTAAACCCTTGGATTAGAAGAGGATTGATGAATGCTGGATTTGGTACTTATGAAGAAGGATTGGTTTCTGAAAAGACATTCGTTAATGTTATTGATGATTTGGAATCTAGTGGAGATTATGTTGCTGCTATCAGTACTGACACTCCATTCTTCCATTTGGACATTCCTGATTATAGAGACTAGATGTCATGTTTGGGTTTTAATTGTATTTATTCAGTTCTTGTAATTTTTATTGTAATTTTTTAGGATAATTTTTTAGTATTAGGTATTATTATAAACTTTAATAAAGTAATAATTGCATAATTTAAAACAATATTTCTTGTAGCTTTGTTCGTTGTGACTTACTTCTATGGATTCATTAGTGGTAGTGGGGGGAAATAGATTGTTTAATGTAGGATATGTGATTGTGATGGATGGAGGTAGTTTACTGTGGTTGACAAAGGTTGTTTACTGTGGTGGATAACTATTGTAAATTGTTAACAAAAGTTGATAAGAAGAAAAGAACAATAAGACAAACCAAGCTTTCAACGGTGTGGATATTAAGATGTATTTATACCGTCCCATGTCGTTTCCTTAAAACTGGACGATCTTTAATATTAAGAAGCCACAATTGCAAAGTTTCGCAATTCTTTTGTGTGTAATTTGCAATAGTAATTTCTTGTGCCAAGACAATACAGATGTGGCTCTCACTTATAGGAAGTTGCAACTTCCTAAATATTCCGAAAGAACCGTTAATAGAATTCAAGAGCCACAATTGATATATTGCCTTCCTTGAATAGTACAGATTGTTGCATCACAAGGTGATTTATATGAAAACTTGCGAGATCATTCCACTATTTATACAATTGGAAAGTTTTGTGAATCTAATTGATCTTGGCATTCCTATTTTGCACAACATATTGAATTATTCTCTCTGAAAATAAGGTTCAAAGGCAAACTTTGTCTTACCTTTCAACGTGTTTATACTCTAGGTTCGATTTAGAGCTGTGTCGATACAGAGTGCAAATGCAGAACATGCCTATGTTTCTCAAAAGAACATCCATTGACATTGGAGGTTAGGCATGGATCTAAATGAATACGAGTTTTCCACGGGTGCATATGGTAACATAAGAATATCTTCCAATTGACAAAAATATGTGTGTTCTATATAATAATAGAGCCGAGAAATTCCCAGAGTATCCACAACACTTGCGGATTGAATTGGTTGAAAATGTGCCTTTATTGGATCAAATTTTGTAAAAATTTATTGACATTACTTGCGCCCCCTAGATTTAACGAATTGCTACGATAGCAATAGATTCTCTCCATCTACTTCTGCAGTCTGTTAAATTCCCTTCATACCCTATCAATGGGTTGAATGTACCAATATTTGCAACAATTGTTTTTTACAACATTGAGGAAAATTTACAAAGTATTTAGAAACCTATATAGAAAAAAAATGCTTTCTTAGTTAGACTAAGAAAGAGTATGACCGTAAGCGTGGTTGTCATGGTGTTATGTTATATTATTCAATCTGTACAAGACAGGTGATTACAAAATGGGGATAGACCGCTGATAAGTGTAACGAAGGTGGGAAACGCGTCTTCATATAGACGCAAAAAAAATCTGTTTATTTCTAATACGCGCATTATTTCAATTGATCGTTTTTTTTTCCAACACTCTTTCATGTTCAACCATAAAACAATACCTTTCTTTCCATTGGTGAATAATCCTTTAGTGTAATCAAACCCGCATAGACAAATGTCATCACCTGAAATAGAACAGACCCAACACGAGAATATATCACGTCCAAATGGACGTCCCAAAAGAAAGCAATATCAAGAAGATACAATCGACTTAACTGGTGATGGATCTGACAAAGAAAACCAACCAACCGAGAAAAGATCAAAAATTGACGAAGCAGAAACTGTGGAAAATGAAGATGACGATAATGAAAAGGTAAATCAGCGACAAAAAGTGAAAGAATACCTTTTTAATCGTGCACTTTCTGCATTCCTTCTTCTTTCTCGTTTCTTTCTTGTAGAAAGAATGGAAAAGAAACGAAAATTGGAAGAAGAAAGGGAAGAAAAACGAAAGAAATTAGAGGAAGAGAAGGAAGCCAAGCGAAGAAAATTGGAGGATGAGAAAGAAGCGAAAAGAAGAAAGCTAGAAGAAGAGAAAGAAGCAAAGAGAAAGAAATTAGAGGATGAGAAAGAAGCAAGGAGAAAGAAATTAGAGGACGAGAAAGAAGCAAAGAGAAAGAAATTAGAAGAAGAGAAACAAGAAAGGGAGAGTTTCTTCAATCTCCTTTTCAATGTCTTTCTTTTCCTCTTCGTTCTTTCCCTTTCTGAGAGGTTAGAGAAGAAACAGAAATTAGAGGAAGAGAAGATGGCTAAAGAACTTGAAAAGAAACGTATCGAGGAAGAAAAGAGAAAGGCTGAAGAATTGAAAGAGAGAAGTCAAATGAAGATTTCAAGCTTTTTCCAAATAAGACCTGCTACTCCTAAGAAAGAAGTAGTTGCTGCTGCTAATACAGAGGCTGATTCTCCAGTAATTGAATTAAAAAAGACGCGTTATCAAGATGATTTCTTACCATTCTTTGTTCAGCAAAATGTCACCATGATGAAAACCACACCCTCTAAGAAGAGCCTAGCTGAAACAAAGGCAGAATTAGATGCTATAATAACTCGAAAGGAATCCCCCACCACTACGCAAAGCTCTTCCGAATTTGTAAGCTATCTCAAATCCTTGAAATCAAGCTCTAACTCATCAAAGACCAAATCAGTCACACCCGAAGAAATCATAAATGTCTTAAACTCATCCAATACCACGGAGCAACAAGTTCTTGAAATGACATCTCGTCTCCCACCAATTAAATATATAAGTTTCTACGAAAATTTAAAACCTCCATATATCGGAACTTGGTGTTCTGAACAACATCAAAAACAACAACCTCAAATTGTGAAAACTCCATTGGCTACTGATATAACTGGATTTGATTATGAGTATGATTCAGATCTAGAATGGAATAAAGAAGATGAAGAAGGAGAAGATTTGGATGATGAGGATGAAGAAGAGGAAGATGTTAGTATTTTGCCTGATGAAGAGGATGAAGATTTTGTGGAGAATGATAACAGTGGTGCTAGTCGAAAGAAATTCATATCTTTGGTGCAACAATTATTTACCTTATTACTCCTCTTATTTGACAAAAAACTTTCAAAATGCTCTGTTAAATTGGTGGATATGGAAGGACCAATTGATCCATTTACGAATTATTGGAGTGAGAATAAGGATGAAGAGGTGAGTAAAACCACGCCAATATCGGCATCTACCGCTCCTTCATCAAACAGTACTCCAAGTGATACCACTGGTACACCTTCACAACCAAATATATTAATGCCCCAAAAGAAGATCATTAAAGATCCAATAATTTTAACAAATCTTATTAAATTCATTGAACTAAATAATGATTTCTCAATTGGAACATTAGTTGAATTATCAAAGAAAGAATTTAAAGATTTCACAAAGGGAGTCTTGAAGAGTACTATACAAGATATATCAACTTATAATAAGCGAACGTCTTGTTGGGAAGTTAAACCAGAAGTTAAACAAATGTATAATTAGTTAGTGAGTTTTGCGACACAATTCAGTATCGCGACAGTAAATACACGTCTTAAGATCTTAGACCTCTTTTTTTTTTACAACCATTTTCTATTTTGCTAACTGGATCAAGTAATAACAACCAGTCAGAAGACGATAATGAATAGATGTCCAATATGACGGAAGGTTCAATAGATAACAACATTACAGATGATGAAGACGACCACCAGCAACAAGAGTCTCTTTATTTCCATTCAACTCAAATGCAAAGTCGTCATGAAGATTTGTTAGAATTGGAACAACAAGAACAACATTCAAAACAATCAGTATCAAGATTAAATTTATTTAGGAATGAAACCACTCAGATAAGAAGTATACCCACAAAAGTAGAAACCAGGAAACGAAAGTCTCTAGGTGCTGTCAAATCCACAACCAAACGCAAAAAGAAAAAGAATCAATCGATGAGTTCAATTGTTCGTGATCAATTCACTGAGAATAAATTACTGTACTTCTCAGGCGATCAGAGTAAGATAGATGCATTCCTTAAGAAACTAAACAAAGTAGAAGATCTCAACCAATTAAACAACAACGACAATACCGCCAGCAATACCAACAACACGTCTAAATTGTTTTCAGAATCAGAATGGAATTATATTCTCAAGAGTATCAAATTGAAATTCCCTGATCTTCCACCATCCAATAAAATGACTTTGAAAGCGATAACCAGACGAATACACCACTATGAGAACCTGTTGCAAAGGGAGCAAAATGAGAGTATTTGGAGTCAAGCTTGTTCTCACCCGGAAACTGGTTTATCGAGTGATGATATAAAATGGTTATATGATTTAGATGAGACACAAATGACTGCGAACGGAAGTACATTTATAGAGGATGATATAGATGATGACGGGGAGATGTCCCCTTTTGTAATGACCTTGTCTCAAAATAACCCACATCCACAAGACGACGAAACACAATTTGTATCAGAATCCGAAATACCCAATAATACTCAAATAGATGAAATCGTACTGGATTCGGAATCAGATGTCGAGATTATTGAAGTTCGACAGAAGAAACAGGTACCGGTCTTACAAGTATTAGACACCTTCTATCAAAAAGAATCATCTCATCAAGTTTCTGATCTTGATCCACTTATCTCATTCCCCAGTTTTCCATTCGCTCCAACCATAACCACGCCCAAAAAGAAATCAACTGTCCCAGCTACAAATCCAATAGTGTATGAATTGACAGGGGATAGTACAATCACCAGTCCCACGACAACAACGACAAGAAGTTCACCCATTAAGGGAAGTCAACAACTTCCAATTGAACTCCTATCTTCATCACAAAAGGAAAATAAATCCCCACCATCACCGGCACCGCCATCGTCGAGTAATCTATCTCCATTCAAGACCCCGACTAAGAAGTCCAAGCAGTTATTATTAAGTAATGTACCCTCACCATTAGGTAATAATAATAAAATCACACCTACAGCCAGGTCTCCATATAAATTAGTTTCACAATCTTTGAAATCTGACATCTCGCCAATTTCCAATCATGGCTTGTTCTCAACTGCAAAATCATCATTCGACAGACAGGATGATACTAATGATGGCATGATATTCTCATCGCTATTCGACGATGATAGTGATGATGGAGATGGGAATATTTCCGAATCGATCTCATCTTCATTACCGATATTTCGGACACAAATCCCGAGAAAAGCTATGAGAACCACGGTGGTTGAAGTGAGCGGTGCGTTGAAGATTAATGATTTTGATAATCATGAAATACGATTGCGAAAAGTGAGTGAGAGAAAGAAGAAACGCGTGGAAGTCGAGGAGGAGGAAATGGTGCCTGATTCTGAAGGACTGGATGATGGTGGTGATGTTAGTATTATAGAAATCACCCGTCCGGTTGAAAGTGATGACGATGAAGAAGATGATGATGAGAGGGAAGTTTCGATATTACAAGTTCCAGCAAGTCCTGGAATGGAGCCGCAAGCATCATCAAATCTTGATATTCATTTATTAACAGCAACTGAACTACGTAATCGATTTAAAACATGGGGAATAAAGACTGTTCAAGGTAAGGATAGAATGTTGGAGATTATAACCAATATCAATAAATTAATCTCCCCCGAAAATATAGCCACATATACTACTCAATCAGAATTCCAATCATGTATATTTCATAAACTTGATGAATTAATCCGGGAAGATCAATCATGGTATGACAAAATCCTTTCCTTTGAACCGGTTAGAATCCAAGACCTACAAAACTGGCTATATAATATCAATCAATATGAATTAGAATATGACCTCATAAGGTCATATTGCGATTATTCAAACATAACCACCACAAACACAACCACTTAGGTTATATATATTTCTTATAATCAGTATCTAATTTATCTTCTACCAATTTTGTATTAATATATTTAATAATTCTTGAACTAATTCCATAATTCGCGATTAAGGTTCCAGGACCATATACTAAATTATTTAACAAATTTCCAAATGGTTGATATATCATGATCTTAATGGCCCATATTAAATGGATTGTTAATTCTATGACGAGGATTACGGTTAGGATTGTTAATATGGAGGCGTTGAGTGCTCTTGATTTAGAGATTTTTTCTTCTGTCTTTGGTTTTGGGAGACGTCTTGTATTTGGAGATGACATGGTGGACAGGCGTGGGGTGGGGGTTGGTTATAGAGATGATCTGTGGGTGATGATGACCGAGATTTTTCAATTTAGTGTTTGAGTGCGCGTATCTATTTATAGGAGTGGCGGATAATTTAGGGTCGTGTTAAAATGATCAAAAAAAACGACAGATTGTGGAAAGTGTAAGATCTGGAACCAAACCGTTTTTTTGCAACAATTGAAAGAGGTTCATTGAAACGTCATAAAAGTCATATATTAATTTCACACAAAAGAATAATACAAAAAACGAATAACTAAATAATAATTACAATTTCATTATTTTCATAAAACATTACAATACCTTTTTCATAAACTTTCCCATTTCCTGTTTTACAATTCATCATCATTATCACTTTTCACACCCGTTTCCTATCTCTGGTTTACAATCCTACTATTTCTCCTCTTCATGACCGGCACCGACTCCTTCTCCTCATCACCTCTTTCATTCCCTTCTACCTGATTTGAAAATAATTCCCGATCCATAAAAATCGAATCCCGATCCAATAACAAATTCTCATATCTAACCTCCAAAATATCCTCCTTCTTACCTCCTGGAACACCAGGAAAAACACTCACAAAACAACTCAATTCCCCCGGATTATTTTCTGTCACTTTTCCAAAATAATACTTCCCCATCATCGAGAATTGCACAAACATACCCTCTTTCAATCCTCGTCCATAATCCAATCCCTTATCACGCTTCGCGTGATATTTACAATAAAGCTCTCCCTTCTTTTTATCATACCTCACCCCATCAAAAACCCCACAACTACCATGATATGCACGAATACATCTTCCATGACTACATTGAAAACATGCCCCCATGTTGGATAATTTACATAATTGACATTTCAATTTCTGTTGATGTTTAGAAATTGAATGTTCTGGCCACTAACTTAACCTAACCCAAACAAAATTAACCAAACCTTTACGCTATGAACAGATTTTGTGAACTTGAAGATTTGTGGATTGGACTGGGATGAGTTGAAATAGTGGGGATATGGAGGTGGCAGTGGATTGGGAGAAGTTGTTTGGACATAGTGCGCATTCATTATGGGATGGAGGAGGGAGGGATTTTGGAGGAGTGGATGGTTTGCGTCTTTTTCGTTTGGGAGCAGGGGAGGGTTGACGGTGATTGATTATTTGTATGTCAACTAGTAGTAGGTCCCCCCTAAGTAGCTAACTACATCCACCCCTATTATTTAATATTCGAGTTCCATAATATTTCGACATTAATTGATTAATATTAATTGCAACTGAATCAGAAATACATTCACATTTTGACGCAATTTTCCCAAATTCAAACCAATCATCAAGAGCAAAATTCACAGATTCAGCTAAATTATATCCATAATTGAAACCAGCATGATATCCATATGGATAAGTGATGATGAATTCCCCCTCACGATGAATAATATGATTTACATCAATTCCATTCTTTCTAAGTAATGCAGGTGAGACCAAAAAAGTTTTATGTCTTAAGAATTCATGACATTTCAAGTAATCTTCATTAAAAGTATCTTTCATAAATTCAAAGAATTTCTGTTGATGATGTTGAGGAATCAGATACCATTGTTTTGGAGCTCCAAAATGAATATAATTTATCAGATATAAATCTTGATCTTCTAAATGCCAAGCAAAAGTAGCTTTCCAAAGACCAGCATAAAGATATGCATCATTTACACCTGGGATTTTATTATCCATAAGATCTAGTATATTTGGTAATTGAGCAATATTCCAAGATTTAAAGTTGTGGGGGAATAATGAACCTAACATATCTGCACCATACATTGGTTCAGAATATGTTAGGGATTTCCAATAGATCGATTCTAATTCTTTACATCTTTCATCGTTATTGAATTCTGAGGTGTCTATTGTGTATTCTGGGATAGGGTGGTGATGTGGTCGTAATTTTCTAGTTGGCGAAGAAGGTTCATGTTGGGCGGATTGTTGCAGTTGCAGTTGCAGCAGTTGTTCATCAGGCAATTGCAGTTGCAGTTGCAGATGTCTTCTTTTAGGATTTGGAGGTTTATAATTGTCTGATAAATGTTTCCATTGATAAATATTATATTTTCTTTGTCTTTCAATATTTTGTTGTTGATAAATCCCTGGCAATATTTGATTTATATGTTGAATAATTGGATTCTTAATGATTATATTATTAATTAAATTATCATTAGTATAAAATTTATTAATTTGATATTTCCATTCTTTTGGTGGAATGATTTTAACAATACCACTTGACATTCCATATTTATTTATAGCTTTATTAAATTGATAAAAATTATTATTAAATTGTTGCATGGTTGGTTTGAAAATGGGAATATTCCCTTCAGAATAATATGCTGGTTCAATGATTAAAGATTCATCAGAATTATAAGTATTATGTGATTGCATATTGTATGTGTTCTCCCCTTGTAGTAGTAGTAGTAGTAGCAGTAGTCTAGTGTAATAGTGTAATAGTATATAGTTTTATAACAGTTGTATAATAGTAGGTAAGTAAGTAGCAATGTTGTTATCTAATTGATAATAAAGAAAGAGTCATTTAAAATTTAATTAATTTTTTTTACAACAAACCTATAAAGCCGATAGTTTAAGGTCTTCTGTTACTTTTTTTGACAATAGTTAACAGTTGATGATGATGTGATGATGTTATGGGTGGCGGAGAAGGAGATTCACTCCGAAAAACGGTTTTTATAGAAGCAAAGCAAAAAAATTAAGTGGTGATTCTTAGAAATAATTGTTTTACTTTGCCAATTATATATATATTGAATTGGGTATATATGTAATTAGATTGATAGCTGTTAATAATTAATTGTCAGTTATCAATTGATATTTAATATACTGCTGTTTGTATATGAGTATGCATTCAAATTTAATAATTGAAAATTTTATAATGTTGCGGCTCAGCCAGTCAGTCATCACAAGTCAAAAAAAAGTCACTTGAACAAAGATTACGTTTTTGAATTTCTCGACAGTAATTAAGATAATCAATTAATAATTATGCAATAAAATTAATAATAAAGCCATATTAGTGTTCATACAAATTATATTCATAGTAATCATATCTACTTAGTTTATTGATTAAATATTATTAATAATTAATTTAAAATAATTTAGTATAATGATTTCATAATTAAATTTAATTCCAGGATCAGCAGGGTATTTTCCCTACAAAAGTGTTCTCAGGGGGGGGTTATAGGATTTTCTATGGCGGGAAAAAAACTTTTTGTATGGAGAAAAGTTCGGTGAAGGATCAGCGAGGACTTCTGAGCCTTGCCTGGGGAATTTTGTTAGAGAATTGAAATATAAAGGGTTGTTTAAGAGTATACTTGATACGTAGATGACGATGGTATAATTAGATTTTCAATTGGATAACTGGTTGGGTGACTTTTAAGTGCCTGCAATTCTTGTATATATTATTGAGTTATTGTATTTGTTACTTACACGACTCACAAATTTTCCTGCGGTGCTACCAGATCTGACAACTCAAAGTATACTGCATATAAGACACACCAATAGTTCAAATTATTAAAATCCACTTAGAAGTCGACGATTTTCTTTAGTATGGCATCACCTCCTCAGCTTCACTGATTAGGTTAAGAAACACACATTTCTAAGAAGGTTAAAAAGAAGGATGTTTCCCCCGAAAATGCAATTGCTGTATTGTAGCTCGCTACAAGTTCGTATGCTTGAGGTATTGATGGAGTAAGTCTCTGTATTTATGGGGTAATTCTTGTTGGTATTCTACCTTGGTGGGTTGTGCGGGTAACGTCACAAATGATATATGCATATAGAATCGCACGTCATTGGTTAACACTCGGAGGTTTTCTACTCAGTGAAAATTTTTCAGTTACTTGACGACCAGAAAAATTGACCGTCCAAACAATTTCCCCAATTGATTCTTTCTTTTCTAAAAAAACTGATTCGAAGAGTTTGAGTCGATTAAAAAATTGTGGTTACTGCTTATTGATTTATATTAATAGACAGACATTATAGGGTTTATCTTTATAGTTTTTAATAAATTCTTTTTCCTATATACTTTAGTATTTCCCCATTACCTACACGTGCACTTCTAGTCCAACAATTCTGAGCTATTGGTGAGGTAATTCACCCATTGACCGGGGTATGGCACGCTAGGTTAGATACGCTAGATATTATGCAACAAATATGCTAAACGAACTAAAGCAATAAGGCTATCCCTTCACCATGTTATAATTGCTTGGAGAGACCA